CAGTGCGCAACCTAGAGAATGGCACCGGCTGCACACGAGCACGTATGGTTACGTGAGATGCCGTATAGAGGAGTGCTGCACAAATATGGGCCACCTGCAACTAAACCTAAGCGCACAAGTGCTCTTGCATTTCACGGTGTTCCTGGCTACGGAACCTCGCCTTGGCTACTGTTCCGGACTGTGGCACGGGCGTACAAAGGCTGACGAGGGGAACTTTTTGTGCGTTACAGCTATATTCACCACAGCCCAGAGGAGCTTATGGTAGTATATTCAAGCATGGTTTTTAATAGAGTATATTCCCTTTTTAAGGACGCCTCCCTGGATGTTGCCGTTATCTTCTCTGGGTGAAAATGTCCCGCTGAGGCAGGAACGTCAGCTTTTGCACGCCCGTGCTACAGGCAATTAAGAAAAAAAAATTACTTCCTCCTCTTTCATGTGAATATATCGATGTAGAACTTTAGGGTGCGTTCCGGAGCCGTTTTGTTGAATGGTTAATCCTATTATTTTGTATACTTAACAACTAAGTGAGCACAAAGAGTATAAACGCACACGCATGAAGACTGTTTGATTGGTGCATCGGATGTTTAACGACCTTATTAACTCACGTATTGATGTACAAAAAAAAAAGCTTAACTGCCCAAGGTGGCCACGTCCGTTATGGGCAGACCACGTACACGTCTTATGCAACATCGTCTATAGAAGTGAAGGCCCGTGTGCTCAGATTTGGGTGCACGTTAAAGAACCCCAGGTGGTCTAAATTTCCGGAGCCCTCCACTACGGCGTCTCTCATAATCATATAGTGGTTTTGGGACGTTAAACCCCACATATCAATTAATCTATAGAAGTGATTTCCTCTTTGGCGTAAAAACTAAGGAACCATGAATTATCATGATGAAACAACTGACGGATTACCATGACGGACAGCACATGCTCTCGCGTTTTCTGCTCTTTTTCGTTTGTCCTCTCATCTCTGCGACGCGAAGTTATTCGATCATGTCCTTCGAACTCGTCCGAGATTCCGTGCTTCTATCGGTAACCAACTAGCTCGAAAATGCGCGCTGTTAGGAGTTCAGAAGCGCCCACCGCGCAGCTCGTGCAGACAACGCGAGTGTGGATGTCACGGGGTGCTGTAAAGTCGTCGGTTAGCGCCACGCGAGCGGCGTAAGTGCCACCGTTATGTAAGCGGGAGCAGGAAAATAAAACACGAAAGCGCTTTACGGTTGACGAAGCATCCTGCCACCACAACGCTGATACCCGCAACAACCGTCGGCACGCAATACGGTGGCATGACGGGCTTGCGCAATCTCCGGATTTTTCTCTCTCTTTACGATGATCCAAGGTTCGCCCCCCGCAACGGCGGGACTCTATAAGATGTTCGCGACATGCAACGGGCCGTAACAGTAACAGTGGCGTGAAACCACGATAAGGCTGAGCAAAACTGGCGGGAGCCGGCAAGCATGAATGGTGCAGACCGTATAGGTGGCGCACGTGAGCATTGGGCGCTCTCAAGTGGTTACGCAGTGGGCATATATTTAGTTCCATTTGAATGTTACTGTTAACTCACATTTGTGGGTCGTTACAGTTAGGGAGCACTTAAAGGTAACAATTGCTACAAGAAAAAAAAAACACTCAAGTAACGTCAAATCGCAACAATAACAGAAGAAAAATCAACAAGCGGCATGACAGAAAGTTACAACAACCGCGAATGATATAATACACTATCTATCAAATTTTAAGTAATGTAGTTGTCAAGCAAATGTTCAAAAGCCTTAACATTCATGCACTGAGCAATATTTTTACGTAGTGCATTCCATTTTTTTTTTGTAACGTTGGGAAAAACACCGACATCTAAACACGTTTGCGCTGGTGGCATAAGGGCTGCACAGTAATTTATTATCCCTGCGTATTCTACCAGGTTATATCATCCGCGTCAAATGAAACCTAAACAGCTGCAAATATTCGCAATGATGGAGAGCGCGCCCTCGAGTCATCACCAGTGACAGCCTCGCGCATCCGCTCTAGCAGCACTGGGCACATTGCGCATCTGTCCTCGGTGATAACGCGTGGGCGCGCATTGCACCATTGCGAATGATCGCAGCTGTTTAGGTTTCCTTTGACGCAGACAGCACAATCCTTTATCAGTACTTATTTGACCCTTGACAGCCTGAAATATTAATTTTATCTGGCTCCTCTTTCACTTATAACCTGAAGCAATTTCAGTTTACATGAGCTGTTTCTTGTTTCCTTTCACCTATAACCTGAAGCAATTTCAATTTACATAAGCTGTTTTTTGGTTTTTTTTTAAATCTTGAACATATGACTCTGGCTGGGAGCCTTTAGATTTTTTCCAGCTCTTTGATTATAGGCATTTATGATTTGGACTTCAAACTACGACGGCATACGCTAGAACACGCCAAATAAAAGTTTTGTACGCCACCAGCTTGACGTTCTCGGTTACGTTTAGTAACATTACATGAAGGAATTAAACAACACTCAAGATGTCAAATTCATATCGTTTTGACAGTATTTACTAGTGACACAGTGCGCTATAATATGGAAAGTGTACCGGCATATTCTATTGCGCTAAAGACGTATTCCTCGCTGTTGAACAGTGGTAGGCGCCGTCAACATAGTGGGGAGCTTGTCGTGGCGCGGAGGCTCCGCCCAGCCCGAAGCTCGCCACAGACTTCTATAATCGCGTGACAAGTGGCACAGCAGCTGCAAAGTTGCCTGCGAACACAGCTCGTCGGGGCGCCTCCAGCGCGTTTGAACGGGCGGCGCTCACCGCTGTTCACAAACATAGAGCTGTGGCGCTGCGATCGTTCAGCCCCCATGGGAATCATGTGTAGTTTATGGACTTGTTTAATCTTCATGCTTGTGGTTTCAAACACACGACTTTGTATATTGTTGCGTTTTGTCAACTGATAAATGAATGGATCGCTGTGAACTTCGCAGGCCGATTTGAATTGGTAAGCCGAAAAAAGTTTAAGGCGGTGAAATGGGCTGCTGAACATTTGCTCAACTTCGTGCCGCGCATTGCAGCTCCCATTGAAACTAGCGCCCCATTTTTCTCGAGCTTATGCTTAGATCGAAATAGAACTCGAAGGGCGGGTGGGGAAGGGGGGTATCGAATTACGTCCTTTATTCCTCATTGTTGTCCAATTGCACCATTGGTAAGCTCCGATTGGTCCACAGGGCTACCACGGCTTGTCTAATTGGCTTAAAATGCTGCTATTACAAAACCTGACAATCCCGTGGAATTCATCAGAATAGCATCCTCACTAAGACCAATAGTTGCTAGTTCGAGGTTGTATATGTCGCCAACAGCCTACATAAACCATTATGGGAAGTCGATGAGGGTAATGATGTGCCTGTTTGGTGAATGATCCAGAGGGGAAGGGGGGTAGGAATGGTCACCCGCCTAAGTCTATGCCAGCAACCTTGTCCCTCTTCAGTGCTTGCTGTTCGCCTCATATCACTAATTAAAAAAATTAAGTGCGACCACTGTGGGCACACATCAACAGTTTTTATGATGTGATGGTGTTTCTGTTCTAGTTAAAACAAAGAGATCATGACGCCGGCCCCCTCTCCGGTGTTATTGCAAGCGATACTCCACCCACCCTTTAAAATGAATGGGTGGATTCGCCCCTAGTTTCATAACGCATTCTGCTTGATGGTATCTTTTCGAAAAGTTAATTAGAGCGCGAAAACTTGACACGATCACTCACACACGCACACACCCATGCATCAAACACACAGCGCCCACTTCCAACTGATTTATTCGTAGCTCGAAGGCTTGAATATATACAGGACACATTGTGCGCACAAACACACCAAAGAAGGCCAACATCAACATTATCAAAACATACAGTTAATAAATGTCATCGCCTTAGAGCGATAAACTGAAGTTCGCTTGGTAACAACGAAATTGAAGCGGCGCTTACACGGTTATCTTTACTTTTTTCAATGAAAAAGGCTTCTAACACTTCACGTGCAGTTTTACTTGCGCTTCTGTCCAGAATCTTTGTTTCAGAAAATCATGCTTGATGGTAGAGCAGGCTATAAAACAAATTAAACAATAAACACACTTGACGCCGCACAGCGTTTGATTATGGCAGCCAGCAAAGTGTCAAGATTATTAGATGCATGCGTGAGTAGCCCATCACTTGTCTTGCCAAATACAGAATCTGAGCAGATGCGTTCGCAGTAAATTGCATTGGTTTAGCAACTATGTGATTGCCCTTATGGCTCCCTAAAAAAAATTCTGACTGCACCCCTGTTTAGCAACATAAGCCGCGCCTGCCCATGTTCAGCGATCTTGTTTTGTCCCATCTCGGAGATATGTGGACGTTCTTGATTGACAGTTTTGTTTGCGATACGTATGACGTATTGGGAGTATGTACATATGCCACCAACTGAAAACGAAAAACAAATCATTTGTTCAAAGTTTTTCCATGTCGAGCGTACTTTCTCTGCACGAGCACTTAAGTGTTAAATAACAACACCAAACTGCCACTCCTCCCCTCCCCACCCCCCTCCGCACACACCATTCTGTCCCACTGCGTTTTCCCACTTGTATATCGATTATATTTATTCATATTGACACTATACTGTAAGCACTATAGGGCTGTTGGAAGGGGAGGGTTGAACTCCTCTCAGCTGGTACGTTAGCGCATGCCATAAGCCATAACGGCTTAGCACACACGACAGATTATGACTCGAACACTATCCACTTCTGGACCACCGGCTTTTCCGTTACAGCATAGCCTCCACACCACGTGGTAGCGCCGGGACTGCTCTAAGCCACTTCGGCTTTACGAGCTTACGGCCGGATATGGGTGCGGTGATACCGCGTAACGAAGGGAAAAACGAAAAGAACAAATTGAGGGAGGTTGTAAGAAACAGCGCGCATCACAAAACGACAATATTATTACCTTCCGCTATCTCAATGCCGCAGTCTCAAACAGCTCCTCGCGTCTCTCTCTCTCTCTCTTTCGCAGATAAGGCTGCTTCTCCTCTCCCAACGATTACTCCGCCGCTTCCCCTGCCACCGTCGCTGCTGTTGCCGCAACCAGGGGGCCATCGACGGTTTCGCAGCTAAGGTATAAAGCCGAGGCTGCCACCATTTCCGAAACCATGGGCAAGGAAGTTGTGTTCGAGTCCTCCGGAGCAGCCGTCCACAACCACCGCCGCCACCACCAACAGCAGACCAACGGTTACCACCGCGCCGCCAGCCACCAGTCACTGAACAAGAAGAAGAAGCATTGCCAGCCCAGGGTCATCAAGAAGCCACGCAGCGTTTCCAACGGCACATCCCGAACCATGAGGCACGACGCGATCCTCTTCAGCAACCTCAAGCCCAAGGAGTTCGCCCAAGAAGTCGTCGGCAAGACGAACAAGGTGAGCAATTGGCTTTGCGGTTCTTCAGGTGCACACGGATTTACTTTGCTCTCAGTAATTCTGACGACAGCTTTCGTACTCACGTGTAATAATCCCGGACTGTTACTTTCCTCGGCATCACTGTCTGTTAGTTCTCATTAATATTGAACCTATCTATAGCAAGCAAAAGAAGGGGCCATGAAAATTTCCGTTATTACCTTCAGTCTAGATAGTAGGTGAGCCTAGAATATTTCGTGCGGTGTGACGAATGGAGGGCCAGTCCAGTGTACTCTGTGATGTAAGTGAACGTTGAAGGAAGCCTGGTGATCGAAGTCGTCAGGAACCCTCCAGTACCGCTTCTTTGATAGCCTCGGTCGCTTTGGGATGTACATTCAAGTACCGTCCAGGTATCATACGGGTGGCTCCCGCAGTCTGCCATCCTACGACGTGTAAGTGACTCTGCATTGAAGTGTACCATTGAAGAGCATAGGCACCGCGGCCATACCTGAAACCTGTCGACTAGTGTTACAGCGGGGTTCAAACTGTGCTTCAGCGTCGACATGCATACGCGGGCTTCACTTGGCGATCGTGGTGCGGCGAAAGTCTGTGTAATTTACAACGAGATGGTACACGCCACTCATGCTCATACCTTGTCTAATCTCCATGATCCGACGATATTATTGTTACGGTTCAACAATGTCGAAGGTGCATTGCACTTTATTTGGTCTTTGCTTAATCTATCCTAATATTTCCAGCAGGTGTCGCATGCTTGGCTTAATATGCGCGCACTAAAACATGTCACCAATAATGATGCGGGGCAGAGGAGGCCGATACACTCTGATTACGTTTCGTAACGCTCATATAAATGCGAGGTTTAGACTTCATGTCAAACGTTCCACTTTTAAACGGTAAAAACAGCGCAAAGTAGAAGAGACGAAGTACGAATAAATAACACAGTCGTTCTACCTTCTATTTCTTCGTCTCTTCTAGTTTGCACTGTTTTTTCGTTTTACCATGTTTTCCAAACTAGTCCAAACAAGGTTGACACTCGCTACGCGCTAAATTGCACAATAAAAAAGCTACAGGGACGCACAGGTAGGACACACACAAGCGCGTGTGCGTTTCTAGTCCAACCAAACGCACTCCTTGGTTTCATTCTTGACTTTCCGGTCGCAATCTTTGACAATGACGTTGCCATTACCATAGGGTTTTTTCATCGTATTTTAACCGTAGTGTCTCGACAAAAATGTTGCAGGAACTAGATACGTTAAGTGTCCTGCTTCCTCGGAAGGCTTTTTGGCAATTAGGAACTCCGTAGCGGACGCCATGAAGTTATCTGACGTCACGGTGACTGGTGCGACAACTTCCACGTGGCGTAGCCATTCGCATTCCCATTATGCACATTTTCTCGTTTACCGTGCGTCTTCTCACGGCAAACGTATCGTTTTTGTCATCGCGAAAAAGTAACACAAGTACCAAATCAGTGAAACTGGGCGATTCAGAAGACCTATTTCACTGATTCGAGGTAATTTCTGGTTTTTGCTGGGCTTCAAATTGATTTTCACCACTGGTAGGTTCCAGTTCAATCACTGACACGACATGACAATGTCGTCGCTAGCGTAGGCCTTTCATCGACTCGGTGTCTTCTTTGCCTGTTCCTTATATTCTCTTGTACGTACTTTCGGCTCAGCGCCGTCGCTTCGCAGCCATTTTGTTCTTGTTCGCCTATTGGGATCTACCCAATTTCTTTGGCGCATGCCTACTTATGGTCGTAATAGTTTTTTGGTGCGAGGTCAGCAAGCAATGAAGCGCTGAACAACGTGGCTTTTGAAATGCTTATCCGGCTTTTCTAACACCTGCATTGCGTTCTAAAGGCTCCTTTATTTTATCCCGTAGATTGCAGTCAATGACACTTGCGACGGTGCCTCGCTTTCTTTCAAGGAAACGGCGACACACAGGCTCACTGTCTCAGCGGATTCCCCAAGTGTCGACACCGAAGTAGAAACCTCGCACGAGATAACGAGACGCTTTATGGCGCAATGCAACGACCACTGCCGCCGAGCGTTAATCCACTCGGTGGCGTGCCCAAGGACGGAAACGCTAAGAATCCTGTTTTTGTTTCGGTTTCTTTTTGATGCACGGGAACCTTCAATTTAGATAATTTGAGGGTAATTTCGGGGATTGGCGCTTGGCTGTAGACAGTCGAGGAATACGACACCCGAGGCTTTAGTCTACATTGCAGCTATAGTCAATCACACTAACAATAAATGTTGCAGAATCTTAGCGCAACCCGTATGCAATCAAATTCTCAAACTGAAGGCCACATGATTCACAGACTGGGTACGTAGTGCTTGTTATCTTCACCTATCACCCCATTTTGCAAGATGCACTATTTATTGACGTAAATTAAGGTTACACCAAGCTACGTAGTCGACATGTCCCATCAACGTCAAATGAAACTCGAACAGCGGCAAGCCTTCGAGGTGGTATAGTACGTGCCGTCCAGCTATCACCGCGGACAGGCATGCGTATATGCGCAGAGCTGCCGAACAGTATACGCGCGCCTGTCAACGTTGATAACTGTACGGCGTGCACTACACTGTCGACAGGGCTTGCCGCTGTTCGGGTTTCATTTGACGCTGATGGTGCATACAGGTCGGTAACGCGCCAGCGCGTGGCCTGCGCTCTGCGGCGACTGCCTACAGCACCACCAACCGACAGTTGAAGAAAACACGTTCGCTTTCGGTGCCATCTATTGCCAGTCAAGATAACGAGTCGTAGCCAGCAGGCCAGCGCTGCTAGATTACGCTTCCTCTTCGCTCGCACAAAGGGCGATGCCTGCATTGCGTAGTCAGCTGCCAACAAATTACAACGCGGTGCACGAGCATGGTGCAAGCTTCAGGCATTACCCGACATCGTTAGTTGCGCGAGCGGTGAGAGAGCGTAATATAGCAGCGCTTGTCAACTGGCCGCGAATCGTTATCTTGGCTGGCAATAGATGACGCCGACAGCGAACGTGTTTTTCTTACCTGTCGGCTGATGGCGCTGTAGGCAGCCGCTGCATAGAGTTACTGTATATGCTACCTTTAGGTAGCTAGCTAAAGGTACAGTTACTGGAATCTAGCCACTGTGCTAAAGGTAGCTATACAGTAACTATACCGCTGCACAGCGCAGGCCACGCACTCGCGTGTTTCCTCTAACAGTGTACCGCCCTGTACAGTGTGTAATTGTATTTACCACACAAATAGAGATTCCATTACACGCTCTTAACGTATCTTGTTGCAAGTCATCGCTAGTGTCGCCAACATCTCCGGTACAACGTGCAAGCGCTCTTTTGAAGACATCATTTTCTAGGTATTTTCTATACACTTTCTTTGACACGTTATATACATTATCCGCGAGGCTTCTGACATTGTTCCCCCTGAATTCAACTGTCCCAACTAATTGTTCTTTAGCCACCCCAGATTGAAACCGAAGTGTAGACCGGAACTCGATAGATTGTAACCACATTTTGTCAATGACCACGGTGCTATCCTGGGCGCTGTCAACTTCCATCGTCTTGTCAAATTTCGTAACGGTGGTGTTTTAAGGCAATCGGAGAGGCCGCAGCAGCCCTCCGGGCCAATCACGCCTGACTAATGGAGCAACTGGACGATATAGTGGAATTCAATAATGTTCAGAATAGCAGCACTGGTTGTACTCGGACAATGGGAAACCAGAAGTCACGTGACAGACCAGACTTGCGTAGAGCATGACCCGGACGATCCATCTCGGAAGTGGGAAGGAATGACGGGGCAAAGTGCGACGAGAATAAAACGTGCTTTTTATTGAACCTTGATCCGATTATTCAGTCACTACCACGTCTTTTCTTTTGTCTTTTTTTGTGGTGTCAAAGCAAGAAACAACTGTCAACTCTTCATCACCTTCGCATGCTCTGATTTAGTGGCTTTAGCGCTTGACCGATTTCACGCGGATGAAATGAGCCAGATATATAGTTCGTTCCGTCTTGTTTGCCTGCGCAGAATGACTTGGAGAACCCGTTCTACATCGTGGACATCGATGACGTACTCTACAAGATTGACCTCTGGCGAAAGTCCGTGCCGAGGGCGAAGCCCTTCTATGGTGAGCTTGCCCTTTTGTTCACTCCCTATGTTTGCCGCAATTATTGACAGTTCGTTCTCGCATCAATATAAATATATTTTGTATTGCGGGAAAGAGTTCAACCAGAATTACAATATCCTGTTTTCTACCCAACACAGAAGGGAAGGGGAAAGAAAAATAAATTGTGGAGTAAGAGCCTGTCTGATAGGGCAGTTCAATGAAGCCTATAGTTGATTTCTGGTGCGACGACAGTTTGAGTGATCATTCTAGTACCAACACAGGTATGTCGTCAAGGCGGGCAAACACGGCCACTAGCGGCAGTCTGCGCGCGCTGTAGCGAGGAAAGCTAGCGGAATGCAAATTGACTCACGGAGCTCAAGGTGTATTCCAATTAAGAGTAAATGTACTGCGAGCTGAGTGGAAATTTGAAAGCTTACGAAGAAGGTTGAACTTGCTTAATTGAGGACGACGCAGCGAGCCAGGGAAAGTTTTGCTTGCGTAGACAAGATACCCACCGGTCATCGAGAGCAACAAACTTTATTTTAATAGAAGCCAAGTGCGCGAGCGGGGAGACTGATAGTTAGGCGAGCAGATAAGTTTTACGTGCATAGCGTGGCCGCGGCAATCGGAGGTCCGGGTTGATTGGCGAAACATGGCAGATGCCTTTGCTCAGCTGTGGGCCTAAGACTGATGGTGATAATGATTACCGCAGTGAACGGGTGCTGCTGACGCAGAATGACACAGCTCGTTTTTTTTTTTCCCACCAGCTGTGAAGTGCAACGACAACCAGATCGTGCTCGAAGTGCTCGCTGGTCTAGGCCTGGGCTTCGACTGCGCCAGCCTTGCCGAAATCGAAGCCGTCATGTCACTCGGCGTCGACCCGTCGCGCATAATCTACGCGCACCCGCAGAAGCACGTGAGCTACCTGCACCGAGCGCATGAGCTCGGCGTTGATCTCATGACCTTCGACTGTGCCGAGGAGCTGTACAAGGTCAGTGATCAGCTAGGGGATAGCGATAAGTTGGGCTATGGTTCATACTCATTCAACTTCGAATTAACACGGACTCGGCACAATACGAATAAAACACAGGACGTGAGACGTGGAGAACAAACTACAGACTGATTTATTGTCGGCAGCGCTCGCGTCTGGGCGCTGCCGGAACGGAGTCTCGGCTAGTGCGCCCCTCCCCTTTCCATACGATCTAGAAACTAGAAACCTCGTAAGAGGGTATCCAAATCAGACAATGGCAGCCATATTGTTTTTTTTTTCATTTGGGTAGTAGCTTTATTTACATTAGAATTTACACATGCTTTCTATTAAAATAAAAAAAGCGTGGAATCTGAGCTCAGGTGATTGGAGTGTTCTACTCAGTAGTCTTTGAACCATGGCTTCTGCGACATCCGCGGTCTCTCGCAGCCGAGTGGTATTCAACACAAGTACACTTCTACAGTTTTCATAAGTTGAATGCGCCATACGTAATTGTCCAGTATTTGAAATGTTCGTTGTTATAGAGCTAAGTGTCAAGGGGGGGACGCTTGCATTAGATGTCTCCCCCCAGCATGAATACAAAGGGAGTCCTCAACCCTGACCCCCCTCCCCACATGATTTGGTATACGCCTATGATTGAGCCAAGGTAAAAATCCCAGAGCTTTAACGAAGTTTGTTTCTCTCTCCTTGCCGACGCAGATCAAAGCGCACCACCCGTGTGCTCGCCTGGTGCTTCGTCTCAAGGTCGACAACAAGAAGGCTTTGTTTGCCATGGGCGACAAGTTCGGCTGCTCGGAGGTCGAGGCCATCAACCTGCTACAATTGGCCAAGGACCTCGACCTGTCTGTTGTGGGCATATGGTGAGCTTTCTCTTGGTTGTATATACAGTGGGCACTTTGACCTAAAAAGATCGAGCGCGCTCTTGTTAACTTTATGGTTGAAAAGCAACTGCATGGCGCTGCAATATTACGCAGCGCTCTGTACGCGCTCTAACCCTAAGATGGAGCACGAGAGCGTGCGCCTGCTGCGGCTTCGGTAAAAATTACGTGCCTTAGACTATCTCCTTCGATAACGCACCTTCTTATTCCTCCCTCTATGTGACGCGTTCATGCTTCCAAAAGCAGTCTGCCAAGCTATAAAAAGCGTCGCCCTCGAGCATGCCCCTTTGGAGTTCCAAGCAGGCTAACTTGTCGTTCCAAGTGCGTGTGCGTGTTGAGGCGAAGGAAAAAATTGTTCCTTACACGCGCATAAAAATTCTTCGTTAATATGCGGACGATTTCTGCGCTTAACTTGAGGTTATTGTTGCCCGCTACCACACGTTAGCCAACATAATTGGCTTCCCCGTAAGAACACCATTATAGTGGCAAAGCCTGCTTTAGAAGCATTGACTGCCGGGCGTAACGTTTTCGAAATCCGTGAAAGGTTCTGCGTGTAATATCTCAATAATAATAACGATAATAATACTAATAATAAAAATGCCCCTACCTCCCCGAAGGAAATCGTGAGGAAATGTGAATGCATTTCTTGCGCCAAGAGAGGGTACCGTTGCCGTCGATATTCGCCTGAACCGACTTTTGCCACCATCGCCCTGAGAGGCGCCCAGCCAGCGAAAGGTCGAGAGAGAGGAGCGAGTGGACGGGAGAGGGGGGGGGGCGCCAGCGTTAGCGGCGTTGGCGTTTCACAGCGGCGTCTCGAGTACACATTTCCGGATGTTCTTGAGAGGCCCCAATCCAGCGAACGCTCGAGAGCATGGAGGAAGGAAAGCTAAGGAGAGGACCTCACAATGCGAGCTGCAGAGCGAAAAGTGTGGCGGAAGTCGCGTGCTTTTCCAGGGGGGGTTGTGGAACAAGGTAGGCACGCCGGCATCTCGCGCGCCAGCGAGAGGGAGGCGCCGGGCACGCCGGCGACTCTTTCTCGCTGGCGCCCATTGCGCATGCGCGAGCCGCCGTTGCGTGCCCGCAATTGAAAGAAGGAGTCATCTACTCTTCCGGCTTCCCAAAATGTGACGTAATGACCTCTCCTCCGTTTATTCCTTTCTCCGTGGTTGAGAGTGAGGTGCGAGCAGACGAGACAGTGGGGCACAGGGAGGAGAGAGAGCGAACGGCGAAAGAAGGGGTGGCGAAGCATTGCACCTACCCTCTCCTACACTCTCGCACCACATGCTCCAATCGGTAGAAGGCAAGGATAAGCGCGCGTGACCGCAGCTGTTCCTATGGGAGAGGGAGTGAGAGCGGAGAGATAACGCCTGCCGGCGCGCGGACACCACCGAGGAGAACGCCGGATGCCTGACATAGCCCGACCTAGAAATGCATTGGCATTTATAATAACTTGTTTTCCGTGCCGGATGATAATATTGTGTCGAGGTCAAAACAGAGGTCCTGCCATGGAGATCAAGATACCATAAACAGATCGCTTTCTTGTTTAATAAAACACCAGGCGAGTTCTTCTTTCTCGTCCTTTTTATAGTCATTCATAGCACATGCATAACTATCATAATCTTTCTCACCACAAGCGCGTGACAATAAGATGGTCTGGTGCGTTGTACTTGGTCACCTCGCATCGATTTCCGAAATATGAGCACGAGAACATACGCATGCCCAGGGTTCATCACCCTCCCCTTCCCCCAATACGTCGACAAAAGTTTTTTTGAGGAGGAAGCACCCTCTTAAGTAATCGTTTCTTGGTCTGCGTGCCATGGCAAAATAAATTTCGAGAGGGGGGGGCACAGGCTGGGTGTGCCACCCCCTGGCTACTCCAATGACCCCCCCCCCCCCTCCCTAGTAAGTCAATGTACTGGGCAGACTTCGCGTCCTCCATCTCTTCAGCAACTAGGATAGGAGGAAGTAGCCAGCTCCCCCATACCCCTTCGCGCACGCATGCGTACGTGGGTGTGTACCATTTCTACTCTTCCGAAATGATACCGCGGAAATCAAGCCAGCAGCCTGAAGGTGAAGTCTCGCTTATTTACTGTGGGTGGAACTCTCTCAACAAGAACCGATATCCATAAGTTGTGAGTAAGAATGGACAAGGGCGTAGAAGACACGGACAGAGTGCTACTTTCCAATGATCTTTCATTTGCGCATGAACTGATGAATACATACAAAGCGCATGGAAATAACATAAACAACAACATTCCGTGCATTCAGATCGCTGAACAAATCACGTGCACAAAGCACTCTCATGACCTGTAAACAATTTTATGTCACTGGGGGAAATCAAGGCAATGACACTATTTTTTGAGAAATCATGAGAGAAGGTATTTAAATTGGCTTCATGCAGAATGATGAATGTAAACATGCGACAGAAGAGAATATAGACACGTTTGGTTGGGCATACGTAATGAGCCTACGTACGCAGCATGGCTACAGGAGAGAAGTGCAAATGCGCAGTAGGTAATGTATCTATTCTACGTATCCATGAGTACACCTGAAAAAAAAAAAAAAAAACCTCGGCGCATGCAAGCCTAACAATACGTAGTGCTAGCTACGTGGCACAAAGAAGTACTTGAAAGTTGTTTCATTTCCCATATGATACGTCTAGTTGAACGAAATGCATCCCGCTACGGGTGATATGGTTAACTAAAATTTTCAGCAGTTAACCTACTTATCGTTACTCTAGCATTATAGGCTGGAGCGACGAGTATACCCTCCACCACACCCATAACCGACAAAAGAGGAAAGCGTGATACTGAGACACCTGCAAAGCAGCACATACACACATGGGGCCCTAATGCGCTGTCTCTACCCAATGAGATATAGCTCTAGGTGCCCGCTCTGCAGCGTACTGGACACCCTGGCACACTTGCTTCTTGCATGCCAGTGTATTGCCAGACGTAATCTGCAACAACACACGACTAATAATGAAGCAGGATGGACAAAGGAAGACCTAACCGAAACGTGAGAGGCGAAGCTCGCCCTCCAAGACCTGGAAGACCAAAAACAACTCGTCGCCAGGGCTAAGGGTGCTGTAGAAGCCAGAGGGTTTCTGGACTAAGGAGCCCTTCCATCTCGGGGTGACACCGGGCATCGCTCGGGGCATTGTTTCGAAAAGAAACGTTTACTTCTTTTTCTCTCTCAGCAGTTAACCCAGCCCTTCCCTTTGAACTGCTGTTGTTCGTCGACTTGCTTTCACAGTCATATTTATTGTTATTCCAGTACCGACTCTCCACACACTTTATTACTCTTCAAAGTCTGCCTCAAATAATACATATCGTGTGAGAGGGACAGTCGTAGCGCAGGTACGCTTGGACTAATTGTCTAAATAACGTTTCGAAGTAGAAGTTATGAACCTGTTTACCATAATGGGCTCCATGACATATAGTCGCTTCAATGCAAGTTGAAAGCCTGAGGACACTATTCCAGGCACCCAACCAATATATTTTCAAAAACATCTATTTTAGGCCTTTGTAGAGGTTGGTGATGTTTTGCAGAGGTTTTGTGTTTCGTGGGGCTGATACAGAAGGTTTGCGATACGTCCTTGTCTGTTTGCGCTCGCTCGCAATTCATGAATGCAAACCGGCTAGCCCACCCATGCGTTTTAGCAAAGTACAAATATAAGTACAGTGGGAGTACGTAACTGAGCCTTCCTTTTCTCTGGGCCAGCTTTCACGTGGGCAGCACTAACCAGGACCCGGGAGCCTTCACCGGAGCCCTGGCGGCAGCGAGAAGGACGTTCGACGCCGGACGAGACCTTGGATTCGACCTCAGGCTTCTGGACATCGGCGGAGGCTACCCTGGAGAAAAGGGCCTGGAGCACGTCTTCCTCAAGGTAATTAAGCGTGGTAGATACAGATCATTATAAAAACACTTCGGTTCCTGCATGTTCATAAAGTTTGCACATTGCTAGAAAGATTCAAATACGCACATCGAAATCCTGAAGGGGCCCTGTAGCTTTTGTGAGACGGTCAGAAAATGCTGCCAACTTGTAGTCAAGGCTCCTGTGAACACGAGCCAAAAATTATGGCATAGCACGCAACCTGAAATTCACAAATAATTCTTGGTCAGCTTACGATTGCTCCCTCTTCTCTCAGCGAATGATGCGCCATATACTCGAATGGCCGCACCATACAACCAAGTTCATGACCATTGGTTGATTTGAGCATCGTGCGCTGCCCCTCCCCCCCCCCGAAAGGCCGCCACGTGCCCACCCATGCGCTCGCTATGCCAATGAAGGCAAGCGGTGCATAAACAAAAAAAGGGTACACGTACGTGTGAAGTAACTTTTCCTTCGTATCGCCTCTCCCTGCATACCATTGTGTTTGTTGGGACGATGGAAATAGGAGATAAATATATTACACTGTGTGACGAATCTCCAACTCTGTTCGTACTTTGTGGATATTAAACAAAGTTTGGAGTGATTGACTGGTGATGCAATAAACTTCATGAGACGACTATTTCAATGATTAACTGTAAAATTGATGCAGGCTCCTTTTTTGGGGAACAAATTGTAGCAGCACCAGCACACCAAGTTTTTCGTCGCCCCTGTATTGTTTGAGAAGTGTCATGTTTTGGAAGATAACTCGTGTGACCGATCTAATTAACTTGCTATGGTTAGTGCTGCAAAATACACATTGTCATCAGCTCCCTCAGCCTATTTTATGTGTGGTATAGTACAATACCTCCCACTGACATTGACTTGCTCAAGTCCATTCCATTTTATCTCTCAGTGGCCAAGATCTGTATTTTTCTTGATACAAAGTGATTCGCTTAAGTAATGTTGCAATAAGCTATTTGCTTCACTTTTGACGTAACTGTGCACATTTTCAAGAAACCTTCCAGGGACTTTTTCAGCATAATCTTCAAACGAACACTTTATAGCTATTGAACTATATTGCTCAAAGGTTAAGATGTGCCACTGACTACAGGTCATGGGTTCGACTCCCAGCCTCCTGGGACGCATTTTCATAGAGGCAAACTACAATGTTAAAGAGGTGAAACGACAACAGTGCTGCGTGGTTTGACCCCTGCAAGAGTATGTTTTGACACTAGCTTTCATCCTCTTGTGCACAGGCCCCTAATGTCTACATTGCACATTCATCATGATTATGAAACTGCAGGAACAATGAATACAATGAATAATAATCATCAATTACCAACTCGCCAGACTACAAGCGTTACTGAGTGCATTCATCGACTGACTCATCTTCGTTGCAGACTGCGGACATCATCAATGCAGGCCTGGACAAGCACTTTCCTGAAAGCTACGGCGTTAGCATCATCAGCGAGCCTGGCACATTTTTCGTGGCCTCTGCCTTCACCATCTATACGAAGATCATCGGCAAGCGGCTAAAGGAAAGCTACGACGGTGAGCACACAAATCTATCACAAATTCAGCTGTTGCATTATGCAGAGTAATGTACGAAGCATGTCACCGTACAGCAACGAGCAAGAGTTGCATACGGCCCCAACACATGCTTGCAAAACTGCCTTGAAGCTGGCGTTTTTAGAGAGGCAAATTTTAAGGAAGCCATCAAAATGAGAAACAGATGTTTGCACCCCTCCTTCGACGCAGCCACAATTTTTTTTTGCCGAGACGGGCCGCGACCTGCCCCCTTTATGTCCTTTTCTTTCCATACCTTTGCCTTCCATCAATAGTCTTTCTGAGAGTGATGCAGTCTATCAATTTTTATTGCAGACTCAAAGCCCAAAGAACGCATGTACTACATCAACGAATCTGTGTACAAGTCTTTCATTGTATCTCTCTTCGATGATGAATCTGTTCAGCCAGAACCACTACAGGTGAGAAGCTGAGAATTTAAGTTCGCGTCCAAGCTATTTGTCTAGATTATCCAATCGATTACACTTTGCATCAGTACATATTTATCTCAAAAGCCATTCCTCCGCATACCTTAAAGGCTGATCTGGCATTATAGTCGTGAGAAATAAATTGACTTCTTGGTTCAGTGTGTCAGATTTATGGCTTGACCTGGAAAAAAAAATAATGAGATAGTGATAATTGATTGCAACAAAAGCTTCAAATTTTCGTAACTCTTCAATGGAGGCGGAAATGTTGTAGGCCCGTGTACTCAGATTTGGGTGCACGTTAAAGAACCCCAGGTGGTCGAAATTTCCGGAGCCCTCCACTACGGCGTGTCTTATAATCATATGGTGGGTTTGGGACATTAAACCCCACAAATCAATCAATCAATCGTAACTCTTCAAATTCTTCTTGAGATAGGGTCATGTGCTCTATTATATCGGTGCTGCTGAAGTTAAGGGGCAAGCATGTGATTTCAGAAGTCAAGCTATCGTAACATGTTCCGTACATGGTGACTTTCTTTTTACTCCTTTTCGGTGGTTGGAACATGAAGTAGTCGCCATTTTATGTGCCAGTTCACAATGTTTGTACCTTACCTTTCTGTGTAATAATCAATATTATTACCACTCTTTAAAACAAACCATCCCTACATAAAGAGGACCATAGTGGGTATGACAGCCAGTTATGGGATGCCATGAACAACAACTCTGAATACCTAGGACAAACTTTAATGAGCAATATAAAACAAAAAATAAATGTCTGTTCTATCAAGAAAACAATTTTGCATATAAAATTGCAGGTCCACTCTATAAGTGACTAGTTTTCAAGCAATTAAATATCCCATCTGATCTGTTGTAGAACAGCAGTGAAAGATTTTATAAACAAAGACATGCGATTTGCCTCTTATAGGACAATGAAGAACCACTGCACCCGAGCATTGTGTGGGGCATCACTTGTGACGGCGTGGACAAGATCAAAGCCGTTTGCAAGCTTCCCGAACTAGCAGTTGGCGAGTGGCTCTACTTTGAAAGCATGGGTGCCTACACCATCACCATCAACTCTCCATTCAACGGCTTTCCGATGGCGGATGTGCACTATCGGGCAAGCAAAATTGTCGAGTGAGTTTTTGTTCACACCTTTGCACATAAAATCTGCGCGTTTCGGAAACAAAGGAGGAGGTGTAATGCAGAGCTTGCAATAAGTTGACAAATCAATCTCGAAAATAAACTTGAAGCTCACTTCAGCTGCTCACTGTAGTAGGTTTTTGTGACCGCTCCTTTTTTTTTCGTTGTTCAATATGAGATTATTAATTTGAATTCAGGTATGGTGCACATATTTCGACAGTTGGGGAAGAACATTTAGGAACAGTCTCAAAAAGGAAGTTTACCAAAGATGACTTCTTGTGACATTTAAGAATACTCGAAATATGTAGCCTTAAAATTGAGTTTTTGTAGTGAAATGTTGTAGTATACCTGTAAATTCAACAGAAGACCAGTCTGGACAGACCCCATGAGCTTCTAAAATAAAAAAATAAAAAAACCACAGGATAAGCAATTATGCAGTCAATGCTAAATATACACATTTAAAGTGGTACTCAGATGGTCACATTTTAAAGGGTTAATGGTACCCAGGTACTTGAATAATACAATGGGCTGAGTTTATGTACGTTGGAAAGCTGTTTTAAAGCGTACTCCACTAAACATAGATAGGAATGATTTTTGTGTAATGCTCGGAAACACTGATTACTTGGAAAGAGTGGACAGCATACTACATAACCAAGCCATTTACACCAGCACATCTGTTTAGTACTCGCAGTTTTAAAAATAAAATATTACTTTATATATTAATTTTTATCGAAGCACTTTCTGAGTCCCAAGAATCAAGGTAACAATTCTGTAAATCGGGGCTTTAAACACGGCTGAAGCCTGAAATGAAGAACACAATTAGACGTATTTTTTTGGTGCTTATCTGCTGGTGTAAGAATTCTGCTTGCTGGTAGGGTGATTGCAGGAGGGTGTCTTGAAAGGCCAATTGGTGCATGACACTGAGGGGTCATTCTTTCATCGTCCGGTTTTTGTGCTGTTTTTCTCACGGCTATTAATTAGTTCAGCATTTTAGTGAATGTGTATTAGGGGAAAAAAATTGCAAAAGAAACTGTTGCACTGCAAATGCTCCCATAATTAACCCCGTGGCACTGAAATATTGACCTAAATTCAATTAGAAAAATGGATTACGATATTCTATTTTAATGCTAGCCCTATCAGTGATGTGACATTATTGAACTATTGGAAACAGCAAATAAGGGATACACAATCAATATATGGCCTTATATTTTCTTAAAAATTGAAAGAAGAAATTAGTGCAGTTAGTAACACTACATTGCACAAGGTTTGATCACAGCACAGCTGGTGACTATGTTTTATTTTGTCAACCATCAGTACTGAATTCTTGAGCAGTGCATGCGTGTTCATGATCAGTTTCTACCTACGACTCATTCCGAACTTCGACTGTAACATCTCTGCTGTAAAATGCAAATGAATACTAAGGCAGCTACGTCTTTTTCTTTTGTTCATAAAGAGTACTGGAAAAAAGCATTAAGTGCTTCAATAATTAGCTGCTATTCTCGTACTGTTAGTGGGCTAGTCATGACCACTGACCATCACGCAACATGTGTATCGGTGTGACGAAATGCGCACCTTCAAGCTCCTCACAGCATATTGAGCTAAAGTGGAGATTCATGATGAAAGAAGGTGAAACATGCAGACACTGACACATCGTGAAGTGCATAGAGGGAGAAAACGTTCAAGATGGTCTCTGCAGAAGTATCAATATCTGCGTCCCTTTGCAACATATTTAAAGTGTGAAGAGTACTGGAAAAATTACATCGTGAAGCGCACACACACACACACTTTGGAACACAAATGCATCACCCTACAAGATTTGGTATTGCCTACAGCACCTAAACTGTTAACGTGGATGTACCATTCACTCCTGTATGTTTAATGGGACGCTTGTATACCAATGACTTGCGAATGATGGAGAACCTGCAAGGATTGGGCATAGCTATGCTTGCATGTAGTTGAAAGTTATCCTGTCCTATTTCTTCTGTGCCCGTGTCAAATATGTTGTCTGTGGCACTTGTTTGAAGATATCATCTAGTAGGTAGCACGTTCCAGCATTTCAAGCAAAACTCCACGATTCCTCATTTACCAACAACAATACGAAAGACAATTTCTCAATTGGTTTAACATTATAAAAGCTGAATCGGCATCGCATTTGGGCAGAATTCCACCTATGGTGTCCCTAAAGTTCAGTATTCCACAATAACTCGATTTGTAGGTTTGTCATATCTGTAGCACCATATATGTATTCTTATATAGGTGTTAAGTGCTTCTTTGGAAGCATTAAATTCTGTATGGTCTTTAACAAACTATTTCATTTTGATGAATCAATTTTTAGGCTTGGTTTTGTTCTTATGATTGTCTTCTCTACTCCTTCAAACAAAAGTACTCTCGCACTGCAGTACCACGGCCGCTGGATAAAAAAAACAGGTTTTTTTATCCAGTGGCCATTGCAGTACATTGTGTGCCTGAATGAATATGTAAATAAGTAATAATGTTTAGCTCCCATGATGATTCATATCTGTAGTGATGACTGCTGCTGCTTTAAATATTATGATCATTCTTTTTCTAATGAGGTACTGTTAGCCTGTGGGATCTGCAGTGCATGGCTGAGCAACGAATAACTGCATTTCTGCATCCCGTACTGTGCCACGGTGGGTCTTAGGTTATCCGCCACGGTTTCCTCGATTAACAACGGCATATCTAAACGCTCCCTTGCCAAATCCTATCGCTGATGCTAATAGCCTCAACTCCTGCCATGTCACCGTACGCGATGCACGGGGACAGTTTTTCGTCAATCCGTTATGTGCTGCAGATCCCGCAAATTTTTGTTGCCGACAGTACATTTCTGTGACTTTTTTCCCTTTAGAAATTAAGTGTGGAGTACCAGCCTGCCCAAGCTCTCGTTCCTTCAAGTTACATTTTTCACGTTTCTCTCCTCCAGGGACCACCTGCGACGAAAGAAGCTCATCCTCTCCATCCTTGACACCGCTTGACAGGACCCTGCCAGCTCCTGAACAGTACTCAAGTTTTTCCTGCCATCAAGTTGACCTCCGCGTCCCGAAGAGGACTGCGAGACCTGGCGTGACTGCCACATGCAAGGACGTACTCTCGCACAATGAAAGTGGTTCAGAAGAGAACTGACAAGGTCGAGTAGAACAACTTAAGCGCAGAAGAGGATTCCACAGAAGCTAGAAAATAGCCGACTGCCCTTTAAGCATGAAAGCAGTACTATTTATAGACTGTTCGCGAGATTTCTTGTGAACCTGTATTGGTGGAGAAAGTTTGCACTGTTCGGAGAATGACAGCTGCAATTATTTTTCAGCTTGTTTCGGGGCATTTTTATCCTCTTTACAAGCTTCATATGAAGTGGTGTGCTTAGTCACTTGTATAACTTTTACTAGTGAACTTTGCAAATACATAAACTGAACAAAAGTGGCATGCATTGTGTACCAGAACGATAATATTCCTTGCTTTTGATGAGCTAATATCAGAATGTGGCTGGCAGTTTACTAATCGGGAAGTCGAAGAAAAGATGTATGATCCCGAAACAATCGGTGCTTCACTGTGCTATGTTAACAGATTCAAGACTGTTTGGATCAATATCCACATCATCTAGGTTTTAGTCCCACACAATAAGAGTAGGCTAGCCACAGGCCTATTTAAAAGTGAATTTTTATACTGTAAACTGAAATTCGTTCCACAAAAATTTGGTATTTGCCAAAAACTCCATAAATAACTTAGCAGCATAATCAATGAGAATAGTGTAAACAGATGAGTTCAACAAAAATATGGGCTGTCTCCATTTGTCTACAGAAAAGCTAACAACCTCAGGTTAAGGATTTAAATGGTTTGTAACTTTACAATAAATAGGCTGACTTGACAATGAATGAAACAATGCAGATGTTTGTTTTATACCCTTTGACTGCGCATATCCTTGCCAGTAATTGTCTTGCTGAATAAAGGTTTTCTTTGAAGTTGGCAGTGTCCTTTTCGTCAATCACGAGCTCTGTTTAGGAATCCCTGTGAGACAAAGGTCAAGCTGAACAACGGGTATTGCAGAAAATTGCTGACTTGAAATCGCACCCATCCTTCAAGGAGACTAATGGCATTAATAGAATCTGTAATAATTGCTATAATAACTGCATTATAATGCAATGGGTGACCAATGGGTGGCCAAGCCAAGGAAATTATAGGGCACAACATGGGAAGTATTTGCCTGAAATCATAGACATGCATAGCTTTTCTTTTCCGAAGGGAGGGGGAGCTAAGGTTTGTTGCAGTACCCTCCTCTCTGTTAAGTCAATATACGGAGCAGACTTTGCGCCCCCTTTTGGGCGACTAGAGAAGAAAGCGACCCCCTCGCTCACACGCCTATGCCTTTTGTGTAGTAATTTATAACATAAATGTAAATAAAGTAAAGTTCATGAAGACAACTTGCTGATGGTACGTGCCCAACTTAGAACCTTTCGATAACACATCTGATGCTCTACCAATCGAGCTATGGCGGGGTGGTCTTTCTACTGTCCACTTTATAAGGTATTTCTGTGCAAGTAGAGGTCAGAGTGTTAGCCAATCAAATAATGTCTAATGTTACCTATACTTTTTTGGGGCTCATTGTCTGTTGCCTTCATTAGGTTGTATCTAACAAAAAAAAAAATGAACCCTTCATCGATTTCCCATTTATTCACCTGTTGGGATGACTGTTAATATAAAATTTGGGTATTTGACAACCATGCAATTTGTGAACTGCAAAGTGTTGCGGGAAACCTCACTGAGAGCCCCGAGGTTGAACGATACCACTACACTGCCAATTTCGGTGACCCAGGTTGAACCTATATAGCATAGCAAAAACGTTGCACACCTTGCATATGTGTTCAAAGCAGTGAACACTCGCAGAGCGAAACGAGGTCTTAAAGTGGCAATACATAAAAACAACAGTAACACAAGAAAGAAGAAACGTGGGCACAACACAATGCGGGCTGAAACGACCGAGTTGCCAACAATGTAATGGCTCATGGCTGAAAAACAGTTTTGCGACTCAAGCATAAGTGAACCACAAGTGAGAGCGAGGGGGCACGTACGTGTGTCATCCATTTACCCTAAACATGAGCATCAGTATGGGGAGGGGGTGAACAAGTCTTTATCTCTTAAGCCACACCAACACTTGCCACCCACCCCAAGTAGCGCTGCACCATTCCTTCTACCACAATGCAACACAGATTTTGCACCCGAAGACAGAATCATGCAATCACCTATCACCATGAAATTTGTATATAAAGCCTTTGGCAGTGTAAAAATGTAGAGCAAAATAATGATTGAACCTCGCAATTGGAAGCAAAGCTTCTGAGATGAATTTCGGTGGCAGCGGTGGGTGTGCAGAGACGAGGGTGCACAAAAATGCGGCCCTCAAAAGTCACTTGCATATTTGTATACGCTGTATTCCAATAAATGATGCTCTCTTTATCATGGGTTTATTGCTCTATCGCTCGTTTGCGGGATGCCCTATTCTAAGGTTCCAAACAGCATTAACTACCTTTAGCATGATGAACATCTAAGGCATTCTATAGTACACGCGTTTTGTGTTTCTCCCTTCGTCCTCATGTTCGGCCGTCCAGTATAAATCCAAGTTGTCAGTTTTTCAGGGGCAGCACATCTTCTTCACCTTTTACCGCTGTCTAAATACAATACAAGCGACTGGGCGTCAAACCTGCAACCTGACATCAGACTGCATACTATAGGCATCAAAACGGATTAGTATTCGTGAACAGTATAGATACAAGAGTGCTGTGAGAAGATATGTAGTAATAAAGTTGACATAGCTTGTCTTTCTGACACTTTTATTGGTTTTTTACAAACAAAACACTAGGTATATAGAGCAGCAAAGGCACAACATACTTTGGCATTGACTTTCATGCTCATATGTACTTAACAACAACAGTGACTACACAAAAGTATTGCAATAAGCTGGTGCAGATCTATGACTGGACTGCAAATATTGGCTCGATCTAGTTTGTAAAAGCTTACACATCATATTGAGTTGCTTTGTACTATTCAAGAAAAGAGCCCCGTTCGTGCAGAAAAAAAGAGGTACGGCATAGTGAAATCACTTGGAAACACACTGGCACTTCAAGGCTTGAGCCGACACCCGTTTGTTTTAAGCTTGCGCACACAAACACAGTCCCGAAAGAAAACCCGCATGCTCACATTGTTCTAGTTCACATGGGCACTTTCATAGTTCACAAGAAGCTCAATAATTCACTGGTCATGAGATATGTTCAATAACGACACACACAGCACCACCGCAAGGGCAAGGCAGAAGCGGGCTACATCACTCATGGCCAGAGTTTCTTGCTCCACTGAACATAGCTATAAATGTTTGTAAAATGTGTTGAAACAGTTGTCGAGAATTTATGAAATAATGCATCAACTTTTCAAACCTCAACTGGAACGAGTGATGATTCCAAGTTGTCCAGCGACGTGTCACAGCTGAAGGGCGAAGTATGGCGGACAGTCACTCGCGAAATTCCTGTAACACCTTTACAAGCCACCAATTGTTTTAAAAGAGGCATTCACCTTCGTACTTAGACCCCTTGATGACACTAGAGGCAAAGCTAACCAGTAAACACACAGACGACAGTCTTTTCGTGCACAATCAAAGCTGAGATAGAAAGTAAATTCCAATTTAGAGAACACTACTACAGACCATACAGAGCAACAGTGGAAAAACGCCAGTGTTTTTACGATTTGTTGTGCGTGCTTTTGTACAGTCAGTAATGCGTGTTTGCTAGATAGTAATTAAGGCACGAGGTCAGCACCATTTAGATCAGCGGAACACATTAATGAGATGGACAGGTTAGGCTGAGGGCCTCACAACTTTGAATGCTAGTTGTATATGAGCATGCCTCATGTTTCCCATTTAGTTCCGTCAAGTCGCACTTTACAGGTAGCAAAAATATGTGGAGAAAATTAGGGTATATACCATAGAAACACTCCAGCACTAAAAATAATGATTATTGGTTTTAACATCGGCAAAAGCAGCTATGAAACAAAGACGTAACATCTTGTTTTCTCTGATCCAAGTAGTAGCTTAATCCAGTTACTTAATTTAATAACCTTTTATTATTTAGAGCCATTTTCACCACGTCTAGTCACGAACTTGGTCTCAGGGAGCTCACATGGGAAGACAAGGACAGTTTTTTTTTTCTTAAACGCAGTCGACCATGTGAGCACACAAAGGTGATGCAACATGTGCATGTCAGTGCAGCGTCAACTACTGTGGCAGAGAGCACACATGAGGAGTACGCCTGGCAACAAAAAACGCCTGACATAGGTTGCTGTTGCTTACATTGAAACCACGCTGTTGTTGTGGGCTGCTAATTTTTGCACTCAGTGGTGGATAAGTTGAATTAGGTATACTCTAAGCTATATTTGCTGTTCAGATTTTGTAGCTGATGTATGCATGTCCCCCTATATCTCACAAGTTGTCTTGCCTTCAAAGTTCTGTGTAAGAACTTCTTTAAAGAGCTTAGCAATAAGAGTTATGAGTAAGAAAGTATTGCTGAAAATCTGAGTAAAAACAGCCAATTTGTTCTTGAAGTTCATGGCCCAGCCTAACCTGGCCACCTTTCCTGTACTACCGTCGAGAAACTTGGTGAAAAATTTCCCGTGAAGTGGTGCTTATCATTGGTGGTATATATGAAGGTAAGCTGTGTCATTCACGATGAAGCCGCCAGTTTCCAGTGCGGCAACATCTATGGGAATAGACTCACGCCCCAAATACAGAACTCGGCTGCCCATGTGCACAATGTCCAGACCCAGATGCTCCGGCTTGACCCAGGTGAATTCACCAGTGAATTTCATGTCCGGCGAGTTACCCGAGGGATGAATGAAGCGAACGCACGAAGGCTTCTTAGGTTCTAGAAGAAACTTGTCGTACAGACCTTCAATTATGTAAGGGCTGTATTGAATTGTATCAGTACGCGGGTAAAAGCACAAGCGTGGGACCACGAGACGTCCGTCCAAGTAATACGGAATGCCGAAACGATCCTCCCGCCTGTGGCGACCTCTACCATTCATTGAGTAAGTGAAACAACCCCAGTCGTCTATTTGCCAAGGACGTGTCTGTGGCTTTTCCACGAGAGCTTTGTTTGTGTCGCCAAAGGCAGCAGCTGCCAATAACTTGAGGACCTCAGATGCATCATCTCCCTTAAGTGTTGATTGCTTAGAGAGGACCCTCGCTAACTCACAAACCTCTTCTGTCAATACGGCAGCGATTTCACTGGGGAAGGTGTCAGTAACTCGACGACTTCCCTCGGCAATGGCCTCCTTGATTGTGGCATTCAACGAGAACAGGTTGTTACGGTACTCGGAGGCTAGGAGTTGCTTCGTCGCTACATTGTTAAGACTCTGCTGACGCTCGATCGCTGAAGTCACGCTGCTCAGGTGACCAGCGAGTTGAGTGCGAACAGTATCTTCTGTAAGTTCAGCGACTGACGTCGCGGTGCGATCCAATTTAGCCGACAGGCGTTCTTCGAACGAGTTGAGTCTTCTCTGTAACGAGGCATTGTCCCGTGACAGGTTGCTCAGCAGGTCTCTGACTTCCATGAGCGCGTTGGCCGAGTTTTCGTTCACAGACCGGTCGATGTCAACGGTAGCCATGTGGCAACCCGACGCGACGTGGTTCCAAACGCCACGATGCAGTACGCTGGCGCCACAAGTGTTACACTTCACGCTGTGGAACCGACAGGCGCTGGCGAAGTGATCCAGCATGGCGGAGGCGGTGTCTTCAACTACGCAACCGCGGCGGGCATTCCAGCAACGCACCGTGAGTTCCAGGACACTATTTCTGCTGAGCGTAGACCACTGGACGTCGTCGCTGCTCTCGAAGGACTCGTTGTCGATGGGGCAACGCTTCCTCCTAATGCTGATGGCGCTGTCGAAGCATGGCCGACAGAAGTGGTGGCCGCAGGGCAACGTGGTAATCGCTTGGGGCACCAGTCCACAAACGCTGCACACTCTGTACGGCGGAAAAGGGTCCACGAATGCCGTGGGCCGCCAATCGAGACCGGTACCGAAGCCGAATACTGTGTGAATGTAACTAGCCGAAGCCATGGCAGCACTTAGTCTTGCGATATGCAAAGCAGAACAGCTGGTACGGTGTCGCTATAGTGCTTTATTCTAGGCACTATAGTATTGCTATATAATAAAGTTCTAACAGAGTGTACTATGTACTAGCAGTGATCGAAAGAGCCGCGATTTGATAAGAAGTGCGCTGACGTTGGATTTGGCTATTGGCTATATTTTGGCTCATACTCTGGCTACTCTATTTTGGCCAAATTAGCCAATTTTTACAAGCCACCCTAGTTTTACCAGAGAACTTTTACCAAGCAAACAGCAAGCCCATAGAAGCAAATACAAATCTTCCGTCGACCTTCGCGGTGGCGCAGTGGCGTGCACTCGTGTCGTTGCCGGCCTGTGGCCGGCCCTGTCAACATGCGGCACCACACGTCTGGTGCCCCACTAGAACGTGCGACACGCACAAGTGCTCGAAAAACGCCACCGATACAAGATGCCATACATGTGCAGTCGCGACCACGTCTGTGTAGAGCACGCGTGCAACCGGCTGCTTGAGCGCTGTACACAGACGTGGCCCACGTGGTCGCGGCTGTACAAATAGTACAAACCAAGAAACAAACGTTGGCTGAAAAACGCATTAATCCAATGCAATCCAGCTACCGAAGCTGCTCCAGAGACCACCGGCTGCTCCCCCTCGCTTCGAACTCCCAAAGACAGTTTCGAACGATTCGCCGAGCTGCCCAGGAGCTCAATCGCTGACCCTGAAAGTCTGGGATAGTAATACAACCCAATTTAGCAATTCCTGAGCTCAGCGAGTGTACACGACATAATTAACGATGAACGGCATTTCAATGTTCAGGCCTATCTTCCTTGCCGCGCGACAGCTGAAGCACCCGGCGATCGTGAAACGTGGATTGGCCGCAGCGGGTGAGATTTATATGTTCTGGTATTTTTCTGGTATTTCTAGTAACGCATGCTTTGCTGCATCGGTGCCGATCACTGATCTGTATATACTTTTGTTGCTGTTGGCGCCCTAACTGGGAAACTATTCTCATGGTCGATTGCTAATTTGTACGTACCACACTTTTCGGTGCAACCAATCGCCGCAGCGCCGCAATTTCTTCACCGCAACGTCCCCTCTGGTGATGGCGAAGAAATTAGACGTTTTGTTCATGTTGGAAGTTTTATCTGAACATGTGCCAACTTATGAGGCTGTGATAAACGACGGGACCAGTGGAGACCCGTATGAGGTATCGCCGGCGCTGTAATTGTTTTCTTACTTTCTTGTTTTTGCCTTTCCGTGTTGCCTAGCGGCCCGTTAGGTTTTTGTTGGCGATGCATTGAGGAAGTTCGCCCTTACAAGCTACGGCGCCCAGAGCAACATGTGGTTACTCGACCTTGAACTAGGAGAACGTGAAACGGGCTACACGAAGATAGCGCTTTGCAGTGGCCGGCGTCCGATTGAAGTTTGCAAAGATAGCGAGTGCAAAAAACCGAGCGGTGATGTGGACGGAAAAATAGCGACATTAAGGACACGCTAAACCCTCGACACTTTCCGTGTTTTCTTATCGGAGGTTTTGTATTTTCCTTGGCGTTCCGTATGTCACCACGTGACCATGGTTCGATCGCTCGCGTACGCGTGGCCACCTGTATCACGCGAAAGCGAAGAAAGATAAAAATAACCCGCTAAGATGATCTGTAGTTGCCTTTTTTCTCAGTAGATTTTCTTTTGGCATCTTTTTTTTAACTGGCAGTGAGATAGCTGCAAGGCATGCCAGACTTCTGGCAAAGCTAGATAAGGTTAGTTTTCATCATGAGGGCGTTTTGCTTGTAGATCAGCTTTGATAAAAAAACCTTGTTACGAACACTGAGATTGCTTTGTGGAGTCCTGTATTTGTACCTGACCTTTGTATTAGCTTAGTCTTATGGATATATTGCATAATTTATTTTGAGTACTAATGCAACTTGTTTTACTGCGCTACAGTTGCAGTTCTGTTTCTCGGAAGGAAATGCACAAATTTTCTGGCTTACGAAGCATCACATCAATATGTTACTGATACTAAGGAAACATTTTGGTGTCCCTTCAGGATATATCAAAGACAGTTGATGTCTAATGTCAGACACCTGTGGCTCGTAGCTGAATACTGTAGCCCCTGGTTTATGGGTATGTGCCTCACATGTTTGGAAAAAGGTGTTTGACGACATGCGCTATGGGATTTTCACGTTGTTGATGTCATGACCAGCCGGGCATAGTCGTCAAACTCTCCTCATTTTCCCATAATAATGTTGGTCCACCCCAGCTTGAGGGCAGGCGATTACGAGAACACCCAGATACGTGGCTAAATAGATGGATTCGTAGGTAGAAACTGAATCACAGTGCCGGCAGTCTGCTAAGAAATGCCTTACATTGAATCTTCGATGCATTCCAAGACACCACAGTACTCGTTTTAGGGTTCTCGACTCCAATGTTTTTATCTAAGGCAACAATCTTCAAACATATAAAATTCTTGTTGGTACTGCTGCTAAACTGTCATTGGCAAAGTGTAAAATGTTATAAGTATCATAAAATCAGCAAATGTGTTAAAGAGTGCTTTTCTTCCTTCTTCAGCATATGAGAACATCCTTGTTGAGAAGAAAGGTGCCCAGCAGAATGTTGCCTTGGTTACGCTCAACCGGCCCAAGGCCCTCAATGCCCTGTCAAGCGCCCTCATGTCGGAGGTTGGCCAGGCGATTGATGCGCTCAACAAGGATGAATCTGTGGGCTGCATTGTGATCACTGGCAGTGAGAAGGCTTTCGCTGGTAAGGCACCAGTGGGCACATGGAGAGTGCCATTCACATAAAGTGGAATCTCATTAAAGGGCCTGTAAACAATGCCGAGGTCTAAAACTTGTTATAAAAAGAAGTAAGTGCACTTTTGCCTTGTGAGCATGCTGCCGCAAGAATTTTGCCAATACGTTCTATATTAGGGAAGTTACAGGAGTTGTAACATTGGTTCTAGCGGCTTTCAAATTTTCGTGCAGCCTCGCCACCCTTCTCTCTTACAGGGAGGGGGAAGGCATAGCCCGTCGTCGTGACTGCTTTTGACCAATCAACAAGCTGTGTGCTTGGTCAAGCCTCCGATTGTCGACATTGTGTCACTGCACGTAAAAGGAGGACTGGTCAGGCGTAAGAAAGGAGCGTGGGAATCGCTTTTTGAAATGGAAGCCCTGCGTGGCACGCAGCGTTGTAATGTTGGGAAAACGTTTGCCACAGTCTACCCTACGAATTGCCGAGCTTCGTTGGGGGGTGTGTGTAAAAGTAGTCAGAGCCTGTTGACGGGCCCTTTAAAGAAACCATGACACGGTCACACAAAAATTTGTTTCTAGTGAAAACTGCATTTGGAGGGTCTATTATGCCTTTAAATATCTAAAAACTGGGCCATAACAGAATATATCGGTCGAAAAAAAAAGCTCTGGAAGTCGCTGGCCGTTAACGCCACCCTCCGCCGGCGACTGCCATTTCGCCATATTACAGCGATGTCACGTACTGCAAGCAGAGCTGTACCGAAGTTTCAGCGATTGCAAATTGTTCAGTTTTTACTTCCAAGCTGAATAAAGCTAAACTATCTCGATATCACGCACAGCTGACCCCGGAACAATATTGTTCGCCAAAATGCTGACACTTGCACAGCTAGCTGCTAGTTAAGTCACAACTTGCGAGCGGGGCAGTGTTGCCCGTCTCTCTGGCTGCTTGTCTGTTTATAATGATATTCAATTATAAATTAAGCGCTCAACCAAATGCACTAACATTTCACCAGTGTGTTTGTGAATGCGGAAGGATCAACCTGCATAACACAAATAATGAGCGAAATTTGGCGTCACAGCCCCTTTAAACAGAGCCTACGCGGAACAGTACAGTTTGTTTCTATTTAGAATGCATCACACTGTGCTGAGAAAGAGGTGTAGTGCTGTCTGTTGTTACACGCTCTTAAGCCTTTCAGTGTCAAAATTTACAAAGAAAAACTTTCCCAGATGGCCAAATTACTTTATTACAGTTTATTAATGTATGTTATCTCTAAAGTCAGCAAAAGATTGTAGGGAATTTAAGAACAGTTCTTTGGTGCCAGCATTATTCAGAACTGCAAAGCGTTGGTAGTACTTCAGAGCGTGGTATTCCTCGAAATAAGAGTCTGCACACAGTGCCTTTTTGCCATCTTCACACATTGCACGTGTCTCCGTTCTCTTCTTGCAGCGACGAGTTGTGCTGGCAAACTCATGGCATCTTCTCCAAGTGTGGCTGCCTTGGTCAGAATAAACTCCGTTATTAAAGAGAATGAGAATATCTCGTGAGTTTTGGTGATGAATGAGCTAGAAATAGCGCCAGTAAAGATGGAAATTAACTTCCACTGCTCCTGAGAGAGAGAGCGATAGAGATAAAAATCGAGTCTTGCGTGCCTCCATGGCGATCAAGTGGGGAAACAAAAGCTACGAAATGGCATTGCTCATTAGCATTGCCAGAAACCACACGACGGGCTGACGCGGGAAAGCAGTTCTTTTTTATATCCGCAAGAAGATAGCATAATCGTATCCGACACCTCTTGCAAGTCCTATGAGGTGGCAGCACCTCCCAGTCGGCATGCGTTGCCATTACGGCGCGAAATTTCAAGTGGAGGGTTGCAAAGAAACTGCAGAACAAAACGCCACCGCCGTACATGTATGGCAGGAAACACTTAAAGGAACACTCATTGCTTGATCTTGTCATGAGATTGGAATGACAAAGAAGGGATTAGTCAGACCTGTGGAGTTATTCATTGGGTGAAGTTGTGCCTAGCAAAAAGATCACGCAAAGCATACTTGTAAGTAACTTTTGCTGTGCAATTATAGCAGTGAGCACAGTCATCGATCTTTGTTAACCTTATCGTTTGGGAAACATATTGTCTCCAATCATGTGTGCTCTAATACTTCAGCATTGTTGCTGGTATTTGCATTAATTTCATTACAAGCTTAACTAATTGTGTTGTTTGCACAATCATACCAAAACGTTCCAAAATAGTTATGAAGGTTTCCATGCATTCTGGTGTACTTCCGGTGCTAAGTGGTAACGTGTAACAGTTTTTGTAAGTGAGGCCCACTCTAATTTATTCACTCATTCATTGAAAATACCTTGGGGTCCAAAGGCATTAGGTAAGGTGGGTTGCATTATTTGTAGCATGTCTTGTTTCTTGAGCCCATTTTGTTAGTTTGCAATTCTCTTGACGAGGTGTGTGAGTTATTGTGTCTGTTGCAGTATTGATAATATGGTCACTCCCAATCCATCTTCGTGGATAGTAAGTTCAAGCACTCGTGCAGTCTCTACTTTTGAAATATTTGTGCAAATATGGCGGACGCTACAGTCCGAACTTGCTGGCCGTTTGTGCACTTGATTTCTTGTACAAAGTGATCAAATTCTGGTAACTGCTCTCAAGGTGGGCTGTATAAGTTGGCTATGGATAGATTTTTCTGCATCTATTTCTAAGTGAATGGCCCCTTCAGAGCACGAAGTACCTAATCTTAACATATTGGGCACTATGGAGGACCTATGAGGATGAAGATGGGGTCACTGACCAATTCACGGTGTGAGCAAAGAGACGTTCTGTGAGCCATATGGGTTCTTTGATCGCACTGAAATGCTTTGATCACACTGAAACCTGTATGGGGCCCTAAATGCTTGTGTTTTCTTCTTGACTTGCTCAGTGACTGCATCTTCGTCCTCATCATGGTACTTGACCAGACAAACTTTCGTTGAACTCTTGACTACATAGGATGTAGTATATCTTTCAAAATCTGCAATGTCGTTGCTACTGGTGCAGAAATTTGAAGTGGCATTGCCACCCTCAGTATTATTGTTTTTTAGCGTTTTTTCGCTGAAGAAGCATCTTCTCACTGCAAGCATGGCGATTCTGGAATTGTGAAATAGTAACCGATACGGAAAGAAATTTTTTTCCCGTTGATATCTCTAAGGATGTAAATCTATCGACCAGTTTGTCTGGTGTTATGGGGTTTATGCCTAATATTGGTTCCAGGAAGGCGACGTACAGCCTTCATCGTGCCGTTTTCCTTGCAGCTGGTGCAGACATCAAGGAGATGCAGAACATGACGTTTGCCAAGTGCTTCACGGGCAACTTCCTGAGCCACTGGGACAAAGTGGCGCAGTCCATCAAGCCTGTGATTGCAGCTGTGAACGGCTACGCGGTGAGTCTTGGGTGACTTGCTCTATGACCTGTTACAACCGCAGGTAGTGACTGTACCAAAGGTTGTAACAAATAAACGAGAGAGCCCCAAGTAGTCGCCCACTGAGAGATCAACGGGATTGGAAACTGGACAGACTTAAACATGTCATGTACCACACATGCGATAACAGTGGAATACAGTTATAAAAAACAAGCAACACATAATACACTTAAGTAGATGCGCAAGTCTTACACATGAAAAATGTAAGAAAAAGAACAGGAATAAAACGAGATGCATCATATACTGCAATGAAACAACGCACTTTCCTAACACTAGGGAATATGTCACAGCCTGATTCTACCTACTCTTTTTATGCAGTATAGCTTAGTGATGATAAGTTATTTCTTTATTCCTCAAAATTTCTTTAATTTTTTTTAAGTATTTCTAGACTGATGTCAAACTGCAAGTCATTTTAGACTAGTTAAACTAGTCGTGTTGTTAGGTATTGCAGCGTTTGTTTTCCATAATTTCTTCCAGCAGGATAATGTTGGTCTTTTTTTGTTTTCGTGTACCTCTTGTTTTGTATACCACTTGTTTTTGTGTACCTCTTGAAGCAGTTTAAAGTAATATATTTGGTTTTCGCTTAACATTTTATATTTATGAAAGAGCACTGAAGTACACAAATGGTCTATTCTACCCTGGTAATTTTCATAACAGCGAGGTATCGTACCATTTGAAGCTTGTTATAATTTTTTGTTGCTTTTGTACCCCGTAGCAGCACGCCGTAACAAAGTCTCAAATAGAATAGGGCATTGTACAAATTTTTCTTTAACCACTGAGGAATGAGGGAACCAATTCTGTACAGGCATCCTACTTTTTTCTCAAGCTGCTTGACTAAATGATTAACGTGGACGTTCCACGTTAAGTCTTCACTGAACCATACCCCAAGAAATTTTTCATGTTTTTCACGTTTTATGGTGTTCCCGTCAAAGCTTATTTTTATGTCATGTTTAACATGTTTATTTATTGGGCAAAATACAATATATGTCGTCTTCTTGGCATTTAACTGTAGCTTGTTTTGTTCAAGCCAGTTTGAGAGTGACGTTATACACTCATTTACATTTTTTCCAGTGTTTTTAAGTGTTTTATCTAAAAATATGTTTGTGTCATCTACATGCATAATAAGCTGTGGTGAGGCAGGTATACATACAATATCATTAACATAAAGCAAAAAGAGCAAAGGACCCAATATAGAACCCTGTGGAATTCCTTGGGTTAACTGAAGCTGACTTTTTTTGTAGCTGTTTTCATTGTACTAGTTGGTACCGGTTATGTAAATAGTTTTGTAAAAAGGCGATCCCTCATATGCTGTACAGTGATAGTTTCTGTAGTAATATGTTATAGAATATGTTATAGTGTATTGAATCAAAGGATTTTTCTTAGTCCAAAAAGAAACCAATAGTAAATTTCATATTTTCCATATTTGCAATTATTTGATCTTTAATGATCGCTAACATTTGTTTAGTAGACTTAGTTTCCTAAAAGCCATACGAACATGTTAGGACAATGTCATACTTATTGAAAAAGGATAACAACCCATTGTGAAAACCTTTGATAATGTTGAAAGTACTGAAACGGGTTTATAATTTAACATATTATTCGTACCATGTCCTTTATAAATTGGGGTTACCTTTGAAACTTCTAACGGTTGGCACCAACGGCTAGGTTGGACTGTGGGCTCCTTTGTGCCATCTTGAACAATGGCAGTTTTTGTCGTAGATACAGGTTGCAGAAGTTTGTTTTTAAATCATTTGCCTTTATACAAAATTTATTCTGCTTACATTTAAGGTGTTGGAGGCCTAAAACTGTGTTTTGCCTGCCTATTTTTTTATGCTGAAAAGAGACTTTTTTAAGGCCTTAAAATGTGGTCTCGAGTCACCAGAAAAAGGCATGCAGGCAGGGAAAGGAGCATGAACCTCATCTCAAGTTTGTCTGCCTGCCCAACCTTGTCTAGTAGTAATAATCGTTGGGGCTTAACATCCCAAAACCACAACATGAGTACACGAGATACCATAGTAATGGGCGCGGAAAGTTTAGACCAGCTGGGGTTTTTTAATCATGCACCTAAATCGAAGCACGCGGGTTTCAGGCATTTTCGCCTGCAGTGAAAATGCGACTGCCTCGGCTGATATTCAATCCTGCCACCTGGGGGTCAAGAGTCGATCACCGTAACCAGTAGACCACCACAGCGGGTCTCATGACCTTGTTCCTTGACGTGTCGTGAAAGAACATGAAAGCTTAAGGCAACCTGTGCAGTTGTGTCGTTCTTATCCAGGTGGTATCGGTAATGTGCTTCTTGTTTGTTTTGCTTTTCAGCTAGGCGGTGGCTGTGAGCTAGCCATGATGTGCGATATCATCTACGCAGGTGAGAACGCCAAGTTTGGACAACCTGAAATCATTCTCGGAACCCTCCCAGGTCAGTATTGGTTTTCAGAACGAGTCTTGTGGTTCCAGTAATTTAGGTGAAAAAGAATTTATACACCACTAAACATGAGTAGCAGCGATATGTTGCCATTTGTGCAATGGTCAATGCGGGCTGGGCAAGCTAAACTTAAATTTTGTTGGAAGGCTACAGCCCCTCTTGGATGGCTCTTAACTTTAGTTTTCGCTTTCACTAGCAAAACAGCCGTTTGGGCTAGTTGGTAATGATTAATTTTAAACTAAAAAAAGTGCGGTGTAGTACAGAACTTCGCCTGTGTCGTCGTTTTCTTCTCTGGTCCCTGTTCTGTGATGTGCCCCCCTTTTTGCCCTTAAAATTGCTTTTGCTAGTAATGCCACTGTACTCTAAATATTATTTGTAAAAAAGGTCCACGAGTACTATGCATTTGGTTTGTGGGCATGTTATGTTCATTATATATTTGTCTTGAAATGTGGATGTATGGCATTTGTGTTTATCGATATTGTGAGGCAACATCTTAAAATTGTAATGTTTTGTTTTATGCATAAGAGTTGGTGTGTGTGAATTTCTATGGTTACATTTTGTGATTTGCTGCGAAATTGTGATTTTGCCAATGTGATTGTGATTTTGTGATTTTGCCAATGCGGGAGCCCGTGGTGCTCTCAAGCTGTCACGGTGACAGCATTTTCTGCAAGACCCCATCATGATGCATTTGCATGATTTAAAATGTGAATAAAGTTGTCATTATTATAAATATTATTGCCATTGTTGTTTACAAACTTCTCTTTGTGAGTTGTACAGGATCTCTTGCCTTTGCATGCTTTTTAGAAGATACGCTGTCAACAAGACTGAAGTTTTGTGTAGGGGGTGCATACACCTGCCCTAAACTTCATTTGATAAGGTTCTTTTTCTCTCTGGCCCAATACTCTCACGGGGCTGTGACAGTGATGGAAGTCGGCACTCAGTGAGTTCGAGACGGAAACATTTGGTTGGGTGAACATATGCCTGGCTATACACTGATAGTGGCGGAGAGTGTTGGCTGTTGATAAATTGATCGTTGCGGTGGCGCCTCGTCTCTTACACATCACGCATAGAATTGTCCATTCTGGTCACTGGTGATTGTGCAAGCTCTGGAATAAGCTTGACTATTCACTCCCTGCATGCAATCTTGACAAAACAATCTGCTGCTATCGTGAAGCTTCTCGAACAGTGCAGCGTGGTCGGCGCTGAGTTTCTCTCACAGTCATTGTGTGTCAAGACCAAATTCGTCAAAAATCGGCACTCGCGGAAACATGACCATGTGCCGTGCAGTAAACTTTGATTTCGCTTAATTTGATTCATTTAATCATGCAGTGAATACCTCAGCCAGAGTCTTGGCAAAGTGTATGCTCAAAGGGACTCTAAATAGAAGCAATGAGTTGTTTTAGATTGGTAAACTGCTCTCTGACAACTCTAATGTCATAAGTTTCACTCTCATAAGCTCATTCTTAGTGGAGAAAATTAAGGTTGAAGTTACAATTTTAAGTTCTGCACCGTAACCTGCGCGCATGAGAAATTCCACAATGTATTTTTTTCTATTTTTGCGCCATTGGCTCGATGAAATTTTCTGAGACTCTGTATGCTAGGCCAATGGAACCCATAGATTACCACATACCTTAATTTTATTTATTGGAAGCTACGTAGGAACCAGTAGACACCTTGAAAAATTTATGACGTCACAGTGTTTGGTGCGTCTCCCACCCAGTTTCCTTCACGCATTTTCTCACTTACCAGGTGTCATATTGCAGTAAGAGTGTCGTTTTCAGGATTGTGAAATTGTACTTTACTGATTATGCGAAAAAGCATTTTGCTCTTTAGTGTCCCTTCAAGGGGGCATAGGTTTGCTTACGTTCCCAATCGAATGTTGACCTCTTCTTCAGGTGCGGGTGGTACCCAGCGACTGACCAGGGCAATCGGCAAGTCGCGCGCCATGGAAATGACACTCACCGGTAATCAGATCACAGCTGCTGAAGCTGAGAAATACGGTCAGTGTTCGCTTCTTTCTGTGTACTGCATACTCCTACATGCTTGTGCTGTTCATTTACAGAAATTGCTGTTAAATGTTAGTTGAAGTTTGTATGAGGCGGGGCAGAAGTTTGGTACGATGTCTTGGTTCTCCCTTTTTTTTCTCTTAATGGGGAAACGGCTTGTATAGACAAATAAATTGGGAAAGAAAATAAGTGTTTTTATCAAATCGTTATAGTCTCCTTTCCCATATAAAGCCTAACTTAGGTCTTGCTAGATTGCTATTTCATCTGCAGTTTTGACCTATGCATCGCGTGTGAGCTGAATCAGAAATGATATGAAAACTGTTTGCAGAATTGCACTTACTGCATATGCCATCCAACTACCCAATAATATTCACTTTTTGCCGAAAGGATTTTTTTTTTTTTATTCGCTTTCTGCCGAAAGGCAGAGCGAGGGTGGTCTACTGAAAAATCATCTCGTTGGCTAATCTGTTCTGCGTTACTGAGAAAGGAAAATAGACATATTGGAAACATAAGGAAGGACAAACCAAACTTAGTTAGGGTTCAATTTTCCAAAACCACAATACGATTATGGGAGACACCGTAGTGGAGGGCCTTGGAAATTTCAATGGCCAGGTGTTCTTTAATGTGCACCGACACTGCACAGTGCACAGGCTTGTAGCATTTATCCTCTATTGTAATGCGCCCCCTATAGCTGGATGCAATTGCACGACGTTAGAGTCAAGCATCATAATCATTAGACCACCACCACGGCTAGGAGGAACGAGACATGCAGCGGATTCATACATTCCTGTCAGATTTGTACACTTAGTCAAAAGTGTTCTGGCAGGACCATAGTAACGTAGCATAACATCTCTGGCAGCTCTTTTCACACGGGAGTCAAGCTGTGACGTGTAGTGAGATACATCTTTCAAATAAATCATGACGCCTTTCCTCCGCATGTATATATATTCTAGAGTTAACCTCATAATGAACACCAGCCGAAAGTTGGTACATTTGTGCATTTTCTTTGCCGCCTGTCTTTAGTGCTGTCTGAAACTTTCAGCCAAGCTGTTCTTAATCGACCCTTTCTTGTCCGGGGGCCGTCGTAGATCGTAAGCAGGTACGTGCCACAGAAAGTGGGTAAATCTCACTACGGATGTGTCACACCTCCCGTCGTTCTCAATGCTTATTACTCTCTCAACTCACCATTAGGTTTACTAGGGCTTCCGTCTCTCCTCCCACTTCATTTACCTAATTACAGTAGATTCTCAATGATATGATTACAGTTGATTCGAATTTCGCGTTGTTGAAAGAAATCACCATGGACTTCTTCAGTGAAAACTACTTGACCCCTATAAAGCTTTTGTTCATCTTTAAGATCAGCTTTAACTTGTTTTGGTTCATACAAATTTGAGATGATACGAATATTTTGCGTGCTCCCTATGATATCGTATAATCGAGATTCTACTGCGATTCCACTTCATTACTACTTGATTCAACCCACTTTATTCAAACGGCTAAAATAAGTGGCAAAGCAAAGGCTTCTTTGTAAGCCACCAGCTTCGCTGTTTCATCGATATCTGCCAAGCAGAACTGGCTGAAATTTTTTAATTTTCTGGAGAATGTGTATACGACATCATGTCACATTCTGTGCCTGCTCTCTCTCTCCTGGGCAGGTCTGGTGAGCAAGGTGTTCCCAACCAGTCAGCTAGTGGAGGAGGCCATCAAGCTGGCCGAGAAGATCGCAAGCTACTCCCAAGTGTCTGTTGCGCTGTGCAAGGAGAGCGTCAACCACGGTGAGGATTGAGGCCTGGCTGGCCGTTGTCGCACGAGCTCATAAAGCTTAGAAGCCAAGTGTAACAATATCTTGAACTCCAGGGGTCCAGGGTACCCCAGGGGTCCATTCTGGGGCCCCTTTTGTTTTTACTCTATATTAACGATTTGTCGAAATGCCTTTCTTCATCCAGTTGTATATTATACGCCGACAACACCACAATTTTTAACTCCGATAGCAGCATTACATCCTTAACTGGAAAACTAAACTTTGATCTGGCACAACTCGTTCGGTGGTGCAGTAATAACATGTTAGAAATTAACACGTCTAAGACAAAATTTGTTGTCTTCTCTTCACCACAAAAACCCTTACCTTCTATTCCTCCTGTTATAATTGCGCGCAATGACATCCCTGTGAGCGACTGCTGTAGATTCCTAGGCGTTGAACTCGACAGTAACTTGAAATACCACCGACATGTTGCATATATTAGGAAAAAAATGACGTATGGCGTTCGTCTACTGATTAAATCTCGTTTTTATTTCAATCCATCAATACTTATGTCACTGTATTTTTCTTTTGTTCATTCGCACATTTCTGACTGTATTACTTCATGGGGTAACACATACACCACTCATCTTACTTCAGTTCAGACAATTCAAAACCAAGCGATAAGAATTCTCACGTCAAGCCCATATCTCTCTAACGCTAAGTCACTACTTCACGAAAACAATATATTAACTGTATCTGAGCTAGATAAATATAACCGTGGTATTTACATGTATAGAACTATAAATAACCAACTTCCACACTTTACTACGATTCTCTCAAATAACAATGTCACAAGGTTTGCCCTTAATTAAGGGGAGATGCTACTCGAAAAACGATTTTCTTTAATAAAAGTCTGAATTTAACACAAATTGGCATGCTAATAGAGTTTTTTCTCTTCTTTTCAAATATGTCATTTATTTTCATGTAGATTGCTTGGTTTTCTTTCAGCAGGTCAGATACTGCAAAATTATGGCCATTGTTATGCAACAATTCTGACCTATAAAAATTTGAGATAAAGCATGCAGATATAGCTGACTATGATCTTTTGGAACTGTAGAGTGCAAAAAACTATATAAATTTTGTGTGTAAAAAGGTGAAATACAATAATAAAATAGAAAAATTTACTATGGCTCTAGTTGCCAAGGGCTTTCAATGTTATGTAATTTTTGAAAAACATAATCAAGCAGCACTGACAATCTGAATAGATACTTGCACTCTATGGGCCTTCATCATGCTATGTGCAGAATTTCATAGAGGTATGACAATTCTAAGTATACGAACTAGCGTGTATAAGAAGCACAGATCACACAAAACTGCAAAAAGAGAAAAACGCATTTGAAAGTTTGAAACCTTTTTTTTTATCACAGAGTTGTTAAAAATGCATAATCTTTGGCCATAATGTTCAACAGAACTTTGAAAAGCACTGCAAGTTACTAGAACTGTCCTGCAGCATAGGTTGTGCCCTCATGGTCCTTGCGAGCACTCTCTTCTAGCCGTGCCCTTTTCACTCCACGACGACGGTGGGCCCTTGCTTCTGCTGTCAGACGCTCGGACATTCTCTTGATGCGCCTCGCATCGCGGGAATCACTGAAAGTAACTAGATCTCTAGATGGCAGTATGTTGAGCTCTTCCAGGATGTGCTCGAAAGTAGCATGACCCTTGTTGAACCACAGGATTGCCATAGCTGCGGCAGTCTCGACAACCGTTCCGGAGACAAACTTAGTCTTGGGGCAAAGTAGCCAAATTTTGCTGTTCAGGGATTCCGATGCGTTCTGGGTTTTCCCTTTGATGCATCGAGCAAGGAGCTTCTCATCCGTTAGCCGCTTATAAATGGGCAAAACAGCCAATCCCTGTGGTTTTGTCAGGAGAGGTGTGTGGCGTGGTGCAGGTTCACCAAGTGCTTCAGCCCGTTGATGTTTGCACCACGACTCTGTTCCTGCAGGGCAAAACTTGTGGCTGCCAGCATTGTCAGTAGAGCATGAGTGGAAGTACGAAGCCCATACTGCAGTGTACATATCCCGTACACTCCCTATGTTGCTTGTTATGGCAATCTGATAGTATGTTTGGAGCTTCTGAATGGCTGGCTCTTTCATTTTCTGCCCTCGTGGTAATGGCACATGCAGCTTCCGTAGCGCGGTGCCAAGTCTCTTGGCCACATGATTAGTGCAGTCTTCTTTTTCTATATTGACAACACCATAGACTTTTGACTCTGCAACTGCACTGTATGCTTTGCTGTCACCGTCACTCAAGAATGTCGTGAAATGCAGTGGGGTGTCATAAGTCAATGTTCTCTGCCAAATGCGCATTGCAGCCTCCGTTTCCATGGCATGGGAGGAACAGTCTGCATTTTTTTCACAGACTGGGCCATGGAATGCCTGCCACACTTCCTCGTCTAGGCCCATATCCTTGTGCCTACTGCATGTCAGGCAGTAATTTGATATGACCTCGAAGTCTAAGCAGAGGCCAGTATCTAAGGAGATAACTGCGCCAATCCCGTTGTGGCTTTTGTGGCCCCTCTTCTGCCAAGTGCCGTCGAACATAACAGCCACATCAGTTTCGCCTGCTACTTCTTTCGTCAACTCTCTGGATCGGCGCAAGTTTTCACTCACAGCTGCCATGGCAGCGGTGTGCACCTTCTTTGCTATCGAAAAAAATCCTCGGTGGTGCATTGGCTTTAGGAGTCCAATAATGGAGAAAAATCTCGACAATTGCTCATGCCCAATGCCAACAGCGCGTGCAGCCACCACCGCCTTCACATTTACAGCGAAACTATCTCGGGAGCTCCCACTGTCGTACCGTTGGCTCACTCGGCTGCTGCCGTCCGCCGTAACACGCAGTGACGTATAGGAGCACGAAAGAACAGTCGCTGAGCATTCGCTGTTTTCGCAATGAAGTTCGAGGAGCGACGAAAGTCCCTTGCGCTTTTCTGCCGGCTCCCGAACGGCAAGTTTTTGAATACCGCAAGCAGGGCATGCCGCACCTGCCACAAGTGCCGTCAGCAAGAGGGTGTAGCACAAAACTGTCGTTGCACAAACCTCATCGCGCTGTCTTTCGTCTTTTTCGAAGAAGCCGAGCCGAAGCACTGACGAAAGAAAGCGCAGCGCCAATCCCTTCATCGCAGCCACTGTCGCTCGCGCACTTGTCGATGCCGCCGTCAGGCCTAGCACACGTAGGCGCGTTCTCGTTCGACGCCGTCGTTCGGGGCGCTTTACGCCGCCTTCCCTTGAACTTGTGCTTCGTTCGAAACTTCTGCGGTCTCACGTTGCACTTTTTCGGGCTTGTCATCGCGGAAATATGCGTAGACGCGCAGAAAAGCAGACGGACCAAATGCCGATGGCCGCCACCAACACAGCTGACAATGACTCGGTAGCCAATGGCGATGTGGCTTAGGGTGTCACGCGTTTCAAACCGCTCAAACCACGTGATAAAAAGGCCTTTTTCTTTTTTTTTTTTTTTTTTTTTTGCCCACGTACGAAACTGGCGGTCGTCGGAGCTGTAAGAAGAAGGCCGGACGCAACTTTCCCAACCGATCGCGATGGCGGGCGGCACTGCGACGGGGAGCAGCGCGCAGTCAAAGATGGCCAATATCGGCGCAAATTCACGAAATTTTGAGCCACCGCGATACCTTCATACACATTTTTTTGCATTTTGCGGTTCGAATTTAGTTTTGAAATTTTCACAGATTAAAGAAGAAGGTTTGAAGATTACAATGCAATAAAAATCAGAAATACGAGAAATTTCGCTAAAAACGCGATTTTTCGACTCGCATCTCCCCCTAACAATAACTTTCTACTGCCAAAAGTTCGCACCAATTATGGCAAACAAACCATTCATTTTTCCGGAATTTCTCTTTGGAATAGTTTACCTTCCGACATTAATGTATGCCGTTCCCTGAAGGTAATTAAATCGAAGTTAAAAAATCATATCATGTCAACTAACTAGCCTGTTTTGCTGTTTCTTAATTGATTCCTGTTCGTTGTGAGTTGTGTTCTGTAATCACTTGTCATTGAAGTTAGCGCGTTATTCTTGCTTTTAAATTGTTTCTGTGAGATTACAAGGGTATATTCTTACTTTATTTGTTTCAATTGCATTTTACTGTAGCTCTGTCTCCCTGCTATGTACATCACAATCATTCTCAATTCTACATTGTACAAGAGGTCCCCTTGCAGTCTCTGACTATGGGATCTCTTTCTGTATATCATGCACATGTATTCTTCTTCATTTAGCACAATAAAACCTTCTGTTCTGTTCTGTTCCATGAGAAGCCTCTTTGCGAGAATGTTCCGAAAGCCAGCTGAGATCATAATTCTAAGAGATTTACTCCGATTCAATGCAGCAATATCGTTTTTTTTTTAAGGGCCACTCACCGATTTTGACAATCTTGAGCTGACAAGCGCAATGTGTAGACGAGGCGTTCATGATCACGTCTGCCAAACTTTGCAACGCTACGCGCCGCGGAAATGGGTCAAATTTCAAGATGAAAACTGCCTCTCCCTTCTGCCGCCGCACGCGTAGAGAATGAGGGCATGACGTAGGTGTAGGAATGGCCCTACGTACACGGCAATGCAGTGACGTTGGTCCTCTACATAGACGAGTCTGCTCTGACGTTGTCAACAGTATACCACGTGACATGGCTAAAATTATTTAACACAACATGCGTAGTTTATGTATTTGTTGCTTTAAAAGATTAATAAAACTTGAAATAAATAATGAGACGCAATAAAAAGTGCGCGTTTTTCTTCTATTTTTTTTTCGTGAAATGCTACGAGATGCGGGGCTAACGTGCCAGAGTTTCGCATGCGTTCGTGTCTTCGCGGTCAGCGCATTGAGCAGACGACTGTCTTGGAACTATCCTACGTGTTCGCGCACTCATTGTGCTCATCCACTCTAACGCGTCTAAGCCAGCGTTTCTAAACCATCCCGCAGAAACAGGCAGAAGACCACAAAATAACGCTGGTAAACAAAACAACGCTGCTCGTGTGCTCGGGGGTTGGACTTGTTTGGGCACGTCATGCGCACACCACCTCATGTTCAGATGCTGGAGAGAGTAGGGAAGACATTTGGCTTGTGAAGACTACGCGGAGGAGTGGCAAGGGTTTCGAGCTCGCCTCCTCTCATCCTCGTTTCGCGCCGCTTCAAAAAACCTGTTTTCTTTGCTGGTAATGAACCAATTCGAAAAATTTTTGTGGCAAAACGTTCCCCATCGGACACCCAAGAACTTCCACTGTCTAACTAAAATTCGGTATGGGGCCTGGTGAGTGGCCCTTTAAAAATGGCAAGGGATAAGATAGAGCGCGAGATTGTCGAGGATTTTTTCATTCATGAAGCAGGTGACAAGTGAGTGAGCAGGCCTTCCATATATCTGTCTGATGCTGAAATTAGATATCTTAGAGGTTTTCTTTGATTTTCCTTGTCGTTTGTGCTGTTGTTTTGTCATGGCCTGGTGCTTCTCACTCATCACGCAAGCACGAGTTCCTTGGAATATTTTATTGTTTTCAGTTTTTTTCTTCAATCACTGGTTAAAACCAGCCTTGTTATCATGCTTTTAATCTCCTCTTAATCGCATTTTTAGGCACGTATGTCTGCACAGGTGATGGCAATAAAATTTCAGTTGTTAGTCGGCTCTTTTTGTTTTCACTGTCCTTCTTTTCCCCGTGTTTTCGCGCTGCCCTTCCTAAGTGAGTATTATGAACCAGAGAGCCCAAACCAAAGTACTTCTCGAATGTGGTACCCTGCTTATTAGAGACACAACTTGTTAAAGATACAAATTGCTTGCTCGTCTCTTATAAAGCAATTCAAGTATGCACACTGGTGCTAGCCTAGCTTCTTTTCTCTGGCATATACTGAAATGGATGTATGCCAGTGATGCCACCCGCATAGGTGGTGAAAAGTCAGTGTAATTTTCTTATAGTTTTGTAGAGTTTGGTTGGAATAACTCTTTGTTAAAAGGTAAAAAAATAACAGAAAAGATTAACATAGAAAGTGACGTCCTTGATTGCTTGAAATGTAGCAGAATACAGAACGTGGCATACACGGACAACTGCTTGTTGACGCATGCCAGTGAGGCAGGGTGAGGGCATGACAATGCGAAAACCTACCAGGCAATAGCTGTAGCCTCTGAGTCGGTTATCGCTCCTGCTGGTTGGTACCTTTGTCGTGCTTGCTTTTGTGTAATGTGTGCGTGAAAACTGATTCAAATGGTCGTGCATGTAACCTTGCTGTTCATTTCTTGCAGCCTTTGAGACAACGCTCCAGGAGGGACTTCGCGTTGAAAAGCGTCTTTTCCATGCATCCTTTGCTCTGGTAAGTGGCCGACTTGTTTGTGCCTAGGTGCAGTGATGACAAATCGGCAAGGGCATAGCCAGGGGGAGGCACACCGAGCACGTGCCCCTCCACCCGCCCCCCCTAAAAAATTTCTGGCTACGTGCCTTGAAATCTGTGTACAAGTTCAGTCTTGTATTTCGGGGAGGTGGGGGCCTTTGCGCGAGAAGCTTTGTCGGGTGGTCCGCGGCTGATGCGCAATATGCCCATCTGCAGTTTTAAGGTGCCAGAGGGCGATCTCATTCATTGCTTTGTTGCTTGTGATGAAGCACACTGCGGCTTGTCCGCTAGTGCAACGTCCTTGCCGGGGAAATTTGCATTCGTCTCGTATCGGCGCCGTGAACAGTGCTAGCTAGGCTCAGCCACGACTCCGAGCTGTAAGCTCGGCTGCAATGCCCGAATTTTCAAAACATTTCAGGTTCAATTGTGAGTACAGAGTGGTTCCATAATGGTCTTCGCCAGGAAGTATAATGTGCGGTTAAGCTCCACGGGTAGGTTCGAGACGCCCATCTTCAACGCTCGTGATAAATGCAGTGCTATCACACACCTGTGGTTGAGCTTCTACTTGCGGCAGTCTAGCCAGTTTAGCTTGCAGCGTCTTCTGCGCACTGACTACACACACAGCGAGTGCACAGGTGTCACAATATGGCACGATTTTCTACATCTGTAACATTGCGATGCTCTAAGGCATGATTAGCAGACGACGCTCTCCTGGTTCGACCAGTAGCGAGGCGTGCTAGAGGGACATGGCTGACGCGGCCAATGGGATGCCTTGAGACAACCTGCAGACATCTGGTTCTTGTGCAATTGATTTTGAAGGGTGGAGCTAGCTGAGGTGGCAAATATGAACATGGAGAAATTATTCTTCGAACGAGCCCCAAGTGTCCGCACTTGGACGAGCTGATGTGGAGATATGATTTTTCTGAAAATTTGCAATTCTTCGTGATGATTCTTGCCACGTCTGCAAGCGCAACGAATTATTTAAAGCACCTCTGCATGGTTTTCAGTCAAGATATTTTGGAATCGGATAAAAGAAAGGTTGCTGAGACTGAAAATGTGATATTCAAAAAATAGATTTTTTTTCCAATTTTTCGCGATTCAAAAACTGCGTCACCCCTAAATTATAAGGGCACAGTTGCGATTGCTGGCTCTCCGTGCAAGTGTCACAGATGACTCACACGTAAACCCTTCTATGTGCTGTGCTCTTAACGGGAAGAGACTGTGCAATGACCGCTTCTCTCCTTAGAGTAGCCATATTCTCTTACACCATCGTTTTGTAGAGTTATACGAGACCAAAACTAAAAGAGTTAGCTTCCAGCCTTACTTCGTATAGCCTTGCGATTTTTACCCATCGCATTAATTGTTTCACCTTTGTGGTGGAACTGATTTTTTGAATGTGACCTCACCTAAGTCGAACTAACCATTTCTTTGTGCGCTATGCTACATTTCTTTTTGCTTGCAATTTTATTTTGTATATGTAGCATTGTTATTCCTGCATTACTGCATTTTCTTTGTTTCTTCAAGCATGTATATCCTGTCAGTTGTACACACCTTGCTATATCTTTTAAAGAAAGGTTACAGTATTCAGCAGTAAATGAGTAAATAAGTAACCAGGAACACTACATGAACAATTTAAAATAATTGTATTAACACTATTACATTGTGACAGGTACACCTTTATAATTAATGAAGGTTCAAATTGTGTTGGTTAGACTGCACTGACTCTTCGTGTAAGTGAATGTGTGTTCAATTCTTCTAGGACGACCGGAAAGAAGGCATGACTGCTTTTGTTGAGAAGCGGCCACCGAAGTACACGAACAGCTAGATGTCTGACAAGCAGCTGTGAAAGTGCGTTCTCCCGAAAGTTTTGCGCATTTTTTTGAATTTATGCAACTGAATAAATCTGTATATTTTGTTTATAATTACCTTGTCTTGTCTTTCATTACTTAGGCTCGGTGAATGGCTGCATTTGCCAGTAATGCACAGAACCAACATTATTCTTGGAGGAATGAGGTACAGCTGTTGAGATGGTAGAGTAGATAATTTGTGGATAGAAACGCAGCTCTAAAGTGGGAAGGGGGTTCAGTAATTTTATGCACTCACATTTGTCTTGTCTACACTTTCTGAGGCCATTATGCTGGTCAATGTAGGGCTGGATCATCTGAGAAATGGCTCGTGGATGGCCTTAGTAACTGTAGCTTATGACTGGGCAGTAAATAATGTCTTCAAGGTTGGCTGGGGCTTTCAAACCAACTTTCAAAATGTGGCTGTACATCGGTGGCAATAACAGCTATGGCTATTAAATTTGCAAGGATGTTGAAAGGTAGATGAAGGTTGTGTAAGAACTCAAAATTACTAGTAACAAATGCTTTTAGTGTTTTTGCAGCGAAAGATGCTATGATATCACATTACAGGTGAGATGCGGCGCTGTAGTTGTGTACCATCACCGGCGTCTGTAACCAGTATCGCAAGACATTAGAAAAAAAAAAACGCAGTAAATAAAAAACACCAAAGACACAACAGAATCCGAACCTGGGTCCGCTGCGTACTAGCCCAGCATTCTGCCACTGTGCCATGCTAGTGATCGAAACTAGTAAACTGGTCTTAGGCAGGCCTGATGTCAGGAAAGGAATCGCGTTAATATGAGTAGTAAAACATTTTAGAACATCAAAGGAACAACCAGGCATCACACAATGCGAATTGCGCAACGAGTGGGTCGATGATGCTCCAACCCATTAGTAAAACTTGTTCTTGATCAGCTATTAACTGTGGTGCATACCCACTTCAAACATAATTCGTTTATCGTCAGCCACTGCATAAAAAAATTGCATAAAATTCTTAGCAAGTGTGTAGTGGATACCACCCTTCTTCGAAAAATGAGGATAGATAGCATGGTGAATGCGGGCAGACCTACACAAAATTATGACTCGCGTTCAGCAGATCAAAATAGAGTTCGTTTCCTTCCTTTCTTATATGTGGCATAGTGGGTACCCAGCAAGTGTGCTAATAACAGTTACCCAAAGAGTTTAGAAAAGGCTCTGAAAGGCCACTCTTCCGCCTTTTTCTGTGACAGTGCTGTGAGTTCTGCGGATGCCTGGCAGTTTTTGTTATTTCAGCTTTTTAGTTCCTCAAGATATGTTTTTTAAAATTTGTTCATTAAAACTTGCTATGTGCAGAGAATTGCATTTTTGCACAACTGTAGCTACTAGTAAATACTTCATAAGAGAGGAACTGAAATTGTGCACGTACAACAAAAACTGGATTTCTAATGGCTTTTCACATTTGTTTATGTATGAATGTATGAAAATCACTTATAAATGGTTTTGCTTATACAAAGAAACAAATACATAAAGGCTAGCAATTCTAGCTCCAGCTATGTAAACGGCACTATTAAACACATTTGACATTTGTTTGCATACGCCCAATAGTTCCCTAGAAAAGGTATGCAAACTGAAAATATTTTAGAAAACGCAGATATTACATACGGTTACACCGGCATATCCTATGAACGTGCGTAAGAAAAGGGACCAAAAATTATTTTTAAAGCCAAAGTGTCACATATTTTCTGAAGGATAAGGAAATTCTCCATCGGGTCACTACAATATCCCAAAACTAATTTCTTGCCTAGGGAAGTACCTGCCCGCCCTATATTGGCGCACGTTACTGGAATATTCTAAAGCAGATTTAAAAAAAAGTGTTTCATAACTCACTGCTCTGTAGTATAGTAACACACCACTTTTCAGTAGGACTTAGCAAAAACCTTGCAAACATTGTATGGCCTCCACAGTAGCTTAGCTAAGCTACTGTGACGCCAGTAGCTAAGCCATTACGCTGCTCATCTCAAGGGCTGCAGGTTCCATTTCTGGTCATGGCATCTGTATTTTAATGGGACTGAAATGCAAAAAAAAAAAAGCCGTGTGCTTAGCTGTACGTGCATGTTGGCCGAGAAACTCAGGTGATTGATATCGAGTCCTTACATGGTGCCTCGCATTCATAATGTGGTTTTGGCATTTGAAAGCCCTGCAATTGTAAATAAACAAGACTTGTAACAAATTCACATAAGCTCTAGACTTACATGTCAAGTTTGGTCTCTTGAGTCGTTAGATGCTCTAACAGAAGCAGTTTGCAAGGAAGGGGACAATCATTTCTGGTGCGAAGTATAGGATCTGCTAACTTCGCATTTCCCGATGTCTTCCATTTTTTGAATATTGCAAATTTTGTGATAAGTTCGCGGCGCTCAGTCGAAATTCTCTGTGTTAAATTTGCTAGAACTTTCTGAAGTGCTTTTTTTTTCTCTTGCATATCAGTTTATTGAGAACATTTCCACTTTTTATGTTTATTTAAATGTAAGAGTAGGTGTCAGTCCAGAGTTGGAAGTTCTTAACAGGGCCTTGCAAAACTTTTTCAAGTAACTATCTAATGGCTTCGTTAAAAGATTTTTCGTTAAAAGATTCTTCGTTAAAAGAACAACCATGACAAATTTTAAGAATCCATCAAGTACGCGAGTGGAGTTACAGAGATTGGTGGCACGCTGTATTTGCATTCTTTCTCCTCCCGTCCGGACGAGTGCGCTGGAAGCTTAAGTTACTGTTGTTGTAGGGATGTGGGAGAGTAAAGATACGTCACGCGCCCTTTGTGACTGTGAGCACTTATTCCTTATTTTTTAAATGCGAAGAATTTCTTAGCGTACTTTGGCGACTTTGAGGGTGTCTGTCTGTATGTCCGTCCTTTTATCTATCTATCTATCTATCTATCTATCTATCTATCTATCTATCTATCTATCTATCTATCTATCTATCTATCTATCTATCTATCTATCTATCTATCTATCTAGCTAGCTAGCTAGCTAGCTAGATAGATAGATAGATAGATAGATAGATAGATAGATATATAGCTACACACATGTCATGATTTTCATGTCATTACTAATCAGATATGTTCTTCATACAGTCATGTTATGCCATACAAAGCTTGGAATCGATACCATTATCGAAACGGCCAGGAGAGCTAAGCGTCGTAGGCAGCTAGCTAGCTAGCTAGCTGCCTACAACGCTTAGCTCTCGCTAGCTAGCTGCCTACGACGCTTAGCTCTCCTGGCCGTTTCGATAATGGTATCGATTCCAAGCTTTGTATGGCATAACATGACTGTATGAAGAACATATCTAATTAGTCATGACATGAAAATCATGACATGTATGTCATGAATGTCATGATTTACATTTAATGGTCCTGCAGCTCTTACGGTGGTTTCGTTCACAAGGCATGTTGCAAAACTTGTATGGTATGTGGTATGATTGCAAGGCAAACACAAGCGAGAGACCTTAACATGAAAATCATCACATGCGTGTCATGTAGCAACATGACTACATGCCATGCTCAAGATGCGCTCGCGGCCGTTTCTCTAGCGTCACATATACAAATTTTGGCATTACAGTACGTGAATGGATGGCGGAGGTATGTGACTGGTGCAAACATGATAATCGTGAGATGCGTGTCTTGTAACAACATGATTACATACCACGTTCATGATGTGCTGGCGACCGTTTGGCTAGCTTCACTTATACCAAATTTGGTATTACGTGACGTGAATGGATGACGAAGGTATGATACTGGTGCAAACATAATAAACATGAGATGCGTGTCATGTAACAACATGACTACATGCTACGCCCATGATGCGCTCGCGGCCGTTTTGCTAGCCTCACATGTACCAGACTCGGTATTACGCGACGCGAATGGACAACATAGGTACATGACACATCCAAACATGATAATTACGACATGCGTGTCATGTAACAACATGACTACATGCCACACTGATGATGCGCTCGCGGCCGTTTCGCTAGCTTCACATATGACAAAATTGGTATTACGTGACGCCAATGAATGACGAAGGTATGTGACGGGTGCAAACATGATAATCATGAGATGCGTGTCATGTGAGAACATGACTACATGCCACAGTCAAGGCACCAATACATTTCGACGTGACGCGGTGCGCGTGCTCGCCGGCATTCATTTAGTCACGTCATGCCGGTGATGCCACGCCTGTCGCTGGTCCTGCCATGTACTCGCAGGCGCGCACCGCGTTGCGTTGCTTTGACCACAGCCTCCTATATAGAGGAGGCTATGCTTTGACACTTGCGGGCACGGAGTGCTTGCGGGTTTCAGCGCGTCCGGCATCCTTCCGTCACGAAAAGAGGAAGACACAGTGTTGTCTGTCTCGCCGGTTGCCGTCGGGTCGCGCCGACGGACGCTGGTCGCGCCTGGCGTCAGACTATATAGTGCTCGCGTTTTGCTAACGTAGCGTCGCTGTGCCCAGCGTGCACGCGCGTCAACGCTACATTGGAGTATATTGGGCCATTCATGATGTGATCGCGGCCATTTTGCTCGCTCCACATATACCGAATTTGGTAGTACGTGATGTCAATGGATCACGAAATATATGACTGGTGCAAACATGATAATCATGACACGCATGTCATGTAAGAACATCACAACATACCACGCTCATAGCGTGCTCGCGGCCGTTTCGCTGGCTCCACATATACTAAATTTGGTATCATGTGACGCGAATGGATGACGAAGGTAAACGACACATCTAAACATGATAATCATGACACGGAAGTCATGTACGGCATCATTTATCTCCACCTCGTAACGTTGTGCTGATTTTAAAGTAGCATATCAACATTTCTCATTCGTGCTTCGCATATCATCGATTCCCACTGTACGGGGGATCTGCCTTTTTTTTTTTCTTTTGCATACAACGCGCAGCAAAGTTTTAATGTGATCGTGAGCACACGTGGGGACACGTGGTGGCCCCCAGTGGCGGCCATGGTAACAATGCAGCCCACAATACTCAAATCAGCCAATGACTGTGAATTAGAGTGTATGGCGGGGTTGTTTGGGTGCATGCATC